TTCCTTTTTGAATGCCTCTGGTGAACCTCTAAAGATGCCAATAAGAGGAATTTCTTTATACTCTTCTTTCAAATGTCAAGAAACCACCAAAATCAAGAAGTGATCAATTTAAAGAGGAAGGTGTCTTTTTGTTTTTCTATTGTCCACTTCCGTTGATATTCATCGTTTTTCCCATTTTTTTCATTTTTTGTTTCCTGGTACTTCTTCAAAAAACCATCAAACCTTCGAATTCCAAAACCCCCAATAAATAAACCTCTTTCAAAAGCGGCTTTAAATCTTCAATTTTTAGAGTTTGATTGTCCCCGGTATGTTTACGTTTTTCGTGTCAACACATACCAGTTGATGTGACGCCAAAAAAGGAAACATTCTCTGAGAACCAACGAAGAAAGATGACATCGTCGGGCGACAAATGGCTTAAAGTGGTTTACTTTTTCCAGTTAAAAAGAGTTTTCTGGTAAAGAGATTACTCAAAGTGGAAGGAGAAGCTTGAGATAGCTTCACTTGGATTGGCTGTAAAAGCCTGAAAACAACTCAGACCAAGTAAAGACCTTTCTGTTGATTTCTATACTTTTGTCGACTACTTAAGCAGGTTGAAGAAAAGTGGAGAAGTCGTGAAAAAGACGAATATGTGAAAGTGGAGTTGGAAACAATAAAGAAGGACATAGGACAAGTACCTTTCAAGCTTATGCTTATCCTTCTCTGTTTGAAAGTTACCATTAAGTTGTAGAAGCACTCTTCACCAAATAAAGACCAAGAATCGCCAAACGGGTACTTCCTTGAAAAGCAAAACAACTCAGACCACGTAAAGACCTTAAAGCGTAAAGAAGAACCAGAACGGAAATAAACTGACTGGTGGCATTTCTTCGTCCAACTATCCTCCCTTTGAAGGAGTGTTTCATCAAGAAGCTGATGAAGAGCTGATGTTCATAAAGACGGTCAATGGAATAGATCTGGCATTATCCAAGAAAGGCCCAAATCGATATTCGACCAAGTAACAGTTATTCAAGTATCATCAACATCCAAAACCACCCTTCTAGTTCTTGATTCCAGTCCTCCCGAGCCAGGTGAGCCAACCAATTGCTTATCCATCCAACAACCAATAAATCCCAACAAATCTTGGTTTGTTATCCAAAGTTACCAAAAAGGTACATTTTGAGTTGTAGAGGCACTCTCAAAGGATATCAAACAGGTCTTTAATTGAACAGCAAAACGACTCAGACTAAGTAAAGACCTTTCTGTTGGTTTTTATATTCTGGATGACTACTTAAACCTGAGGGTGATCGAATAAAGGATAAACCGTGAACTTGGAGAAACAGAGGCAACTACGATTGGACATCAAGAGAAAACGTGAGTTTCAGATGGAGTTGGAGGATTCAGTTTTGGCCTGTAGAAGAGTTCTTCTTGCAAAGAAGCAAAATCGATGTTTATTAAAGAATTCGATATAAAGTGTAAGAAGAGAACCAGGGCCAGCTAACATACTTAGACATGGACTGACTGGAGGTATTTCTTCAGCTATTGTATTGGTTTAGTGCTTGCAAGTTGACAGAAGTCACTTACAGTTTTGAAGGACTGTTTTATAAAGAAAAGAGGTCTCAAGACAGGTAATGAACTGTTGTTCGTAAGGTGATAAAAAAGAAGAAAATCAAGGATATAAATATGGGAATATCCAAAAAGCGTAATAAAAGAAGCTGAGCTAAGAAACTAAGAAGATTCTCTCTTAATCAGACAGTTAACACATCTTTCTAAAAGACCAAGAAGCCACGGGTTCCTTGTTGGCGTTGATAAACCATGAAAATCTGGAAGGCAGTCACTTTTTACGATTCCCAAAGCAAACCTTTCTGCTCTTTCAAAAACAGTAAGACCCACATTTCAATTGACAAAGAGAAGCCATTAATTGACCTCGACACTCTCATGAAGAAATTGGATGCTTTGCTCCCTCTTGGGTCTCTGGGTTACCAGGAACTTTCAAACCGTCTCTAGATGATAATTTCTCCGTGAATAGATGGTTGCTAGGCCTTTGCAATCCAAAAGGACTTCAATAAAACCTGTTAGACATAAAGTACGAAAGATGAACTAATATATCCAGACAGAAATGGCAGAAGATGGATTTATAGATAACAGCATCATTAGAAAGAGTAAGATTTAAGAAATTAGAGAACTAAGAAGCCTCAGAAAAACTAAGAGAATTACCCAAAGGCCCAGAAACCCGAAAAAGCTAAGAGTTCCAGACCGTAAACCTTAAATCTGTTGATGTTGACGTTTCTCGAATTTAAGCTTTGCGGCTCGCCAGAAGTTAAGCGAAGGCACTGGGAAGAGGAGATCCATTTTTAACTAAAATTAAACCACAAGGAGGATTTATGTTCAGGGTTTGATTGGTTTGGATGGTTTTTGACTTTGCCAGTGTCTTTTGATTCGGCTGGTTGAGCTGAAAGGCGGGGAACAGCCCGAAGGGAAGCACAAACTCAATGAAACAAAGTGGCAGGTAACTTAAAGAGGCAGGTAAACGGTGGGACTTAAAAATAGGAAGAAGGAGATGTAAGTGGAGGGGATATGGCGGTTTAAATGGGCTGGGGAGGCCTTAAGTATGGGGAAAATGAGATCCCCTATAGAGGCACGAGGAGTGGCGTAATTGGAATTCCAAAAACACCACTGTACTCCTACAAATATGAAGAATACAATGAAGGTTTGTAAAATTCAAAAATGTCCAAAATGGTCGTTTTGGCGGAGGGTTTAACGACTTGGGGTAAGCTGGTGCACGGGTTTTTACAAAAAGGTATAACCACCACAAGAAGAAACCGAATTTCCTGGAAGGGTCACAATGTGGGAGGTAAGGCAAGTTTGGGTTAAAAAGGCGTTTAAGGGATTTGGGATATTTTTTGGTTAATAAAGTTCAGTTGAAAACCGTTGGTGGCCGTTTTTTAAGAGGATATTAATTGTTGGAAAATCCAAAGAGGAAAGTATAAAAAGCAAAGTTTTTTTTTTTTTTTTTAAGTTGGATGATGAAATTATTAGGAAAGTTTAAGGAAAGAACAGGGGTTTTGTTTAACTGGAAAATAAAAATTAGACTTGGAGGGCTAAAAAAACGGGAAAACGATGAACTAAAGAGACTAAATGGACTAAAGAAGAAGTAAAATAATTAATCTAAAAGCTGTTGAACATGAAATGTTATAAATACTCAGATTGTGAAAATACATGATTTACGTTGGTGATATTTTTAGGGACAGTTTCTACGAGTTTCAAGAAATGACACTTGGACTGGCCAATTGAAGAAAGAAGTGATGAACAAGAAGAGCAACTACGAAGAAGTTTTGATCAAAAAGAACTGGAACATTCAAAATCCATGGAAGTAACGTTTTGTTATATAAGAATCTTCATTTGTATGAGCCTTTCAGCTTTTGGATATCTGTGACTTGTTCTCCTACTCACCCTCATATGAATAGATCTTCACTTAGATAAGGCCCTGGCTGACAAACGTAGGTAAAAAATGATAAATCATCAAAAAGTCCTTCATTGGCGTTGGAGTGGTTTCTTTTTGATGAAAAGTACAAGAACTGATGGAATGAAACGATGTTTCAGAAAGGAACCAAAGAACAAAAATCAACAGACCTTGGGAGAGTAAGGTGTGTAGTTAAAAGATCATTGAACCATTGCATAAAGCGAAGTCTGGCTCTGTGGTATTATAAGGGAGGCATTAAGTACATAAAGATCTTATCTGCTCAAAAACAGCCTATAAATTTATCCAAAGGTCAGAAACTTAAGAAACCACGAATGAAGATTCTCTGGATGAACATGAACCGGGGAACTACAACTCCAGAACCTTCCAAATATTTCAAATATGGGTCTTTCTTTGGGTAATTAACATAATTGACATTTTCCAATAGATCAGCTTGTCTCAGCAAGTCTTCTATTGAATGGCATGCCAGCTATAAGGGAATTCTGGAAAAGGTAGACCTTAAAATCTGGCTTAATTGGAACCAAATACAACTTTGAAGAGCAATAAAAGAGAGTAAGAAAGTAAGAAAGGAAGAAAGGAAGAAAATAAGAAATTAAGTAAGTAAGAAAGTGGGAAAAGAGGAAAGTAAGTAAGTAAGTAAGTAAGTAAGAAAGTAAGAGAGTAAGAAGAGCTAAAAGACCTAAGAAACTCAAAGGAGTAAGAAAGGAAGAACCTTAAACAGCCTTAAAGAAACTGATAAATTTGCCAGAATCCTCAGAAGCCCAGAAACCTCAAAATTACATCCTCTGGTTGTTCTCCAACTTACTTGACCTGCCATACTTCTGCCACACTTCCAGTAACTTCCAGTAACCCCCACAATTCCACCCAAAAAGCCAAAACCCGAAACCACCCAAAACCTCCACCAACTTAAATCCCCCAAAACAACCCAATTATTAAAAAAATCACCATTTCAGCGAAACCTGGTTGCACTTCCACTCCACTTCCTGAAACTCACCCACTTTCACCAAACCACCCGTAAAACCACCACCAGCCAGCCAAACCCAGTCAAATTCACAAACCAACCAAAACCAACGTAAATAAACAAAAAAAGGGAATCCCCTACCCCTTTCCATCCACTGACGTACCTTCTCCTTACGCCTTTTGACATCTCACCACTCCCTCTAAAACCCCCATCAAAAGTCCCCAGAACCCCAAAAAAAATCAACCCCAAAACCATCCTACCAAGTCTAAACCACTTAAAACCTCCCCAATTAGTCAATTTTTCACCCACTTCCATCCTCCCCTTCCACTTCCCACAACCTTCCTTCACCTCCCACTTAGTCCCTCCAACTCCCCACAACTCCCCCAAAACACGTCCAAATTCGACGAAAAAAACACCCCCGTACTCCCCCCGTCCTCCTCTTTCACCTCCAAAAATCCCAGCCCCGTAGCGCCTTCCCTTGCCAAAATCTCTGTAATCTCCTCCTCCCACCCTGGTTCCACCCACTTCGCGCAACCACAATTCCACCTCAACTACTCCTTTTTCCTAAACTTCCTTCAACTTTTCATGTCCAGCCTCCCCAAACGTATCATCAAAGAAACAGAACGTCTCGTTTCCGACCCCGTTCCGGGAATAACCGCGTCGCCTTCCGACGACAACTTGCGGTACTTTGAAGTCACCATTGACGGTCCCAGCCAGTCGCCGTACGCCAATGGCGTGTTCAAATTGGAACTCTACCTTCCTGACGATTACCCAATGTGTGCGCCGAAAGTTCGGTTTTTGACGAAGATTTACCACCCGAATATTGATAAGTTGGGCAGGATTTGTTTGGATGTGTTGAAGGATAACTGGTCGCCAGCGCTTCAGATTAGGACGATTTTGTTGAGTATTCAAGCGCTTTTGGGGGCACCGAACCCGGACGATCCGTTGGCGAATGACGTGGCCGAGGAGTGGAAGAGGGATGAGAGGGGGGCCATTGAGGTGGCGAAGGAGTGGACGGACAGGTACGCCAAACAGCAGTGAGAGGCTCAAGCGAAGCGAAGAGCCTCGAGCTGGTGTTTGGCGTACTACCCACCTGCGAGGCACCCAAGCGAAGCTAGCTTCACTGGCGAAGCTAGTGAAGCGTAGGGTGCTACGAGGAGGTGGACTATACGACCAACGACACTTCTAGCCCAGCTGTGAGGCACCTAGCGCAGCTAGCTTGCTAGCGGAGCGTATGGTGCTACGAGCAGGTGGATGGTACCATTGAGACAGCTCTAACCATTGAGACAGCTCTAACCATTGAGACAGCTCTAACCATTGAGACAGCTCTAACCATTGAGAGGGCGTACGATAGTGATGTTAAATTTACTTTTATTATTTGAAAAATGAACACGGTACCTCGATTTGAAGATCTACATTATAGTTTACTTGTGTGTTCCTGAGTTTTGATTTCAAAGCTCCAGCGAAGTCAATGTGCTACAAACAGCTGGGCGATGCCTACTATGAGTACTATGAGTGCTCTAACTAGATGTGAGACACAGAAGCGAAGGTGCTACGAGCAGGTGGATATTCTCAACAACGAGTGTTATAGCCAGCTGTGAGGCACCCAGCGAAGCGTGGGGTGCTACGAGCAGGTGGATGGTATCATTGAGACAGCTCTTGCCATTAAGTCGTCTCTAACCATTAAGAGGGTTCTAACCAGATGTGAGGTACTGGAGTAGATGGTCTATGCTTACCACTCACTACCTGAGAGCACTGAACAAGGAGGTACACTGAGGTCTTTCCAATGGGTACAAATATGGTACTATTACGGTACTGTCCTGGTACTACTCGGTTACCACTCAGAACTGGGAGCGTTAGCGAGCAGATTGAGTGCTATGAACTTTCATTTACGCCCATTAAATGATTTTTCCCTAATCATGAGTTGGAGTTGTATCCCTAGAGTGAAACGTCGTGGTGTTTTGAGCAGGTGGACCTTGTGAACAACCAGGGCTCTAATGGTACTTCAAGTGTTCCAAAGGTACTAGAAGTGTTCCAAAAGTACTACAAGAAGATCACTGGCCTAATAATTACACTGTGAGAGGTTGACGTTCACCGTGAGGTAGAGAATGACTAGTATTGTTCTCTCCCTTAATAGATACCTAGCGAAACAAATGCGAGCAAGTGGACCTGTACTTTTAAGACTGTTGTACCATTCAAGAGCGCTAGTGAATATATGAAATATTGGAGTACTACTCAGTTTACTATTCGAGGACTATTAGAAGACAGCTAGCATTGCTAACGGAGTGGAGGTGCTACGAACAGGTGGATGGTACGATCAATGGGAGTATCCCCATCTGAAATTATACTATGGTACTGCTTACTATGGTACTACTGTGGTACTGCTTACTATGGTACTACTGTGGTACTTCTATAGCCGTGCTACGAACAGGTGGATGATGCTTAAAATGAGGGTTCCAACTGTACTACAAGTGTTCGACTACCGGGGTGCTACGAACAGGTGGACCTTGTGGACAGCGAGGGTTATGACTTGAGCGAACAAGCAGGTACACCCATGACTTTTCAGTGGGTACAAGTCTGTGGTACTACTTATGGCACCACTGTGATTACTATGGTACTACTGTGATATCACTGATATTGCAGTGGTATTGCTCATGTATTACCATGGTATTATTGTGATATCACTATTGTACTATTTGGGTACTACTATGGTCTTACTTAAGACTAGCTGTGCTAGCTGAGCGTATGGTGCTACGAGCAGGTGGAATGTATTGACAACGAGTCTTCTAACCGTCTGTGTGCCCTACATGTGCTGTACCATGTTTAGCTAACAGTACTAAGAGGCCATGTTATCAAAGAATGTGAAATAAACTGTGCATGTCATTGAGAAGGACATCAAGCGAAGTGACCAGGTGCTACGAGCAGGTGGATGATGCCTACTATGAGTACTATGAGTGTTCTAACTAGATGTGAGACACTTGAACGAACAGCTGGAGTATGTCTACAGCGAGTCTGATCACCAACTCTCGTAGATGAGGTGAACAAGAAGGTACATCTGTCTTTTCAATGGATGCTAAGGTACTACTTCTGGACCAATGTGATATTGCTGTGATATTACCATGGTACTACTGTGGTATTACTGTGGTACTACTACTATGGCACTTAGGACTAGCTTTGCTAGCGGAGTGAAGGTGCTACGAACAGGTGGATTGTACGACTGATGAGTGTTTAAGACCAGCTGTGAGGCACTGGAACGAAGTGAAAGTGCTACGAGCAGATGGAATGTACGACCAAGAGGGTTATAACCAGCTGAGTGATCCCATACAATCTACGAACAGGTTGAATGTGCTTACAACGACTGTTACAGCCCGAAGGATAACCATATCCAGATTGTTTCGCTCCCTAACACTTCCATTTTACGACAGCTCTGTTTAGAGAGACTAAATGAACGTGGAGCCCTCCACTGGCTTTACTGAATATACGAATGTGATGTTACGTCAATTGCTACTACTTATTGATGTAAAGCCACCTAGCTAAGTGTACTTATAATAAGGCTTTACCTAGTTGACGTTCACTGGAACGTACCTAGCTTTGCTAGCTGAGTGGATGGTGCTACGAGCAGGTGGATTGCAAATACGTCTTTTGATAGGTACTGCTTTGGTACTTCTTTGTTACCGCTGTGATATTGCTGTGATACTTCCTACATCAGAACGAAGTATTATCCTGAGGATGCCACACAAGAATGGATGCCAGGAGATGTTCATTGTGAGAAGATGGTAAGATTATGGAGACACCTTCTTGCAGGGTTGTCTTCGTCAATGGCTGGTGAGCTAAACGACCAACGACGACATTTTCCCAGCGGGATGCACCAGAGCTTCTTTGAACAGGTTCATGATGCTCAATAGGAGTTTATAACCCTGGTGTGGTGACCAACGAACTGCTGGGTTTGGATCACCATCTGAAAGTGAGAAATGCACAGTTTGCAATCGCTTTAATGGAGATGATAATTACATATGTGCTACCTTGTACTGACAGTGGGACTACCATCAACTGAGATCATTTATAAACGGGAAGTGAACGGAAGGAGCAGCTTTGTCTGCTCCTCTGCTGATTTGCGTGGGTCTTTCTTATCTTTTGGATCAAAGTTCCATCAACGATGTTTCCATACACTGACGTTTATTCCACATCATGTATAAATCAATGAAATGTTAATACAAACATCGTTTGAATACCTCCAGTCCTTCCTTTCTTAATTCCATGTTCCACTTTTACAATCTAAACTCTTCCCATCTCTTCCATTCCAATAAACGAGAAATAACCAATATCTTAAAATAACGATTACCTCAATGACTTTCGTTCAAGAACGTCATCGCTCAGAGAGAGCTTTTGAAGTTGGGAAATGAAAATGTGATGAAATAGGAATAAAGGTACTTTAAGTACTTTTTGGATATGAAAATCAAGAAAAGGCCATTTATCAACTTCTGAAGGATTAATACCAACCGTTTCATTCCATTAAACCTTCACTTAAACCGTGTCTTCTTTCTAACTTAACTTTTAAACATAAAAAGTAACTTGTAAGATGACACTTAGCTTTTAACATCACCAAAAGACAAGAAATTCCACTAGTAATTTGTTTTGGTTCTTAAATCCAATTAGATGGAAAGCTCTATCCATTCATCACCCTAGTCGAACGGTTTCTTAAACAAAGCCGGTTTCTTAAACAAAACCACATTCTCCTTCCACTGGAAAGACCATTTGGATATGGAAAACGAAGAATAGGTAAAACCAGTGGTAAGATGGACTTGGTGGTATTTTTGGATTTTAATTGAAAAGCAGTAAGTGAACGGAAGCTCATGGTTTTAAACATTCATTCCATTAAACCTTCATTTAATTCAACCTCCACCAGATCCACCAAAACCACTAAAACCTTTCATTTACCACAATCAAGACCAATCCATGGCCTCCTCTCTTCCAAACCAGGAGGAACCACAACAACCACTCCATTACATCCAAATTAAGCAATCAACTCAAAACGCTTACTGTCTCAAAGAACGACACTAAACCCTTTCCAGTAAATCAGCCTCTATTCTCGCCTCCACGCCTTCATTCACCATCTGCCACTTTCTTACCGTCACAGCAAGCGTCTGCAACGTCAAAACCACACAAAGCAACCCCAAGTACCCTCCTAACGACTTCTCCTTCCAAACCAGCCCTACAAGCCCATTCTGTCTCACCAGCACTTCAATAACAAGAAATAACCACCACACAACCAAAACAAACAACCCGAAAAAGAGATCATGGGTATCTTCCAAAGGCAGTTCACATATAAACACAAACACAATTAGCAGAAACGCCAAGTAGTATATATTGAAAAGGTAGCCTAGTATCGGGGACAGAACAGCGTCAAAGGCGTAGATATGTTGTAGGGCGTGGACGGAAGCTCTTGTTTGTTTTGCAGTTGCAATGGCCATTCTGGTACGGTATTTCCAGTCGTCAGCTGCCATTTGTTGGATTTTGGCTGTTTCGTTACGTAAAACAACGTATGGCACGTCGTAGACGATGTTTTCCAAAAAGCTTTCTGCAAAGCTTTTGAAACACGCTGGAGGAGTGTTTTCCAGCTTTCGACAGTACCCCCAGTAATGACGGTAGTAAGTTGTGTTTCCTAGGGGCCACTCTTGGGGTATAAACTGTCTCATTTGGCCTGTGGACCCTGGAGCAGCTGCTTCACATTGGTTTAGAAGGTTTCTAGTGTAACTGAAGTAATCGCTGGTTCCTGGAAGGGTGAGTTTGATTGGGGCAGCGTAGACAGACGGAAACATGAGGGAAGCTAGAATGGCGATGCTGGAGAGCATGAGGAGGATTGGGATTAGGAAGATGAGGCGGTGTTTCGTTCGTGGAGAGATTTTGGGGGGAACTGGAGGTTCCTGGTGGTGGAACTCGAGCGTTTCGGGGTCCATTTTGGTATTGGAGGTGGATTGAAGGTGGTTTGAGGAAGTGGTGAGTTGAATAGTGCTTTATGGAAAGAAGTGGAGGGCTGGACTTGCTGTTTCTGGGAAAGGTATGTCCAAGGAAGGAATTGCCTGGATTGAAGGAGCGAGTAATGGTGAATTTTGATTTTTAATGGATCAAGTGTTTTTGGGCAAGTCCAGTAGTTTAATCACCAAGCGATTAAGACATCCAAAGGGTAGAACACTTGGGTGAATTGATGTAAATGAGTTTCAAATAAGAAACTGCTCTTTGGTGAGCTGTAAATGAATGGCATGGCGATATTTGGGTTGGTGATGGAATAAAAAGACTGAACGTGGTGAAGCAAGGGTTCAGAATCCCTCTAGAACCCATCTTTCCATGCAATTTATGTCTGCTTGTGGAAAAGAGGCCAAGGCGAAGACCCGTAGTGCCATCTTTGGACGAAATGGCAGGGATAATAAATTAGTGTATTAGTTAAAGCAGCAGCGGGGCTTCCCATTAACTGTATGCTGTCTTTTTAAGGTAATGTTGATGATCAGCGCTTTGGCGTTTGGCGGTTGGCATTCATCTTTTGGTGATGATAAATTCATCTTTTGAAGTGACTGGAATCTGGAGCTCCCTCTGTTCGTCAAAGAATGAATATCCTCCTGGCACCAGTCAATCTGGAACCAACGAAACAATCCTTCCAGCTCCTTCCCTCTATTAAAACACCTCCTAGTGACACACCGCAGGAAGAAGGCCCACGGCCCAGTTGTACAGCCCTAGCAACAAGACCATAATGCAGAAACCTGCCAAGACAGAAGCCGTTCCGTAAATATAACTGTGAAGCGTCAGGAGCCCAAAAAGCTCTACGACAAACGTCGAAACCGTCGTAAGAGCACCACAGAAGCCATCGTCAAGGCCCATAAGCACATGACATCCCACAACATTAGTTACGATCTGAACAGACCGATTATCCAAGCTTCTTCCACGAGCAATCAACGTGAAAACCGCTAGCAAAAGGCACCCGACCATATTGGCCGTAAACGTGCCCAAGGGAAAGTCCTTAACCTTGCTATTCAAGTACTTCAGAAGGTAGTACCGTAGAAAAGCGCCCCAGGGCGCAAAAAGCACCAGAAAGAGCCACAGACACCACGTTCCATAGTCCTGAGTGCAAATAAGCACGATATCCACAATATAAGCAGCAATTCCCACACAGCAGCTCACAAGATTAAGCTTCTGGAACCCGCCAGGGGTCAAAACAGGCAACTTCTCATCCACAGCGCCCATAAGGTGTTTACCCATATGAAAGCCTGAAACTGAAACGCTGACATGAGCTATCACCACCAGCAACGCCTCCATGACCCCGTAACCCGCCGTAGGATACTCGTACAGCCGTGGAAGCGTATCTGCCGCCTTATTGAACACTTCAAGTATAAACGTTGAAAACGACGAACAAGTCCCACAAAACCCCGTCGTGACCCCAACATAAACCGGCACCACGCCCTTCCCAGCAAACCCAGCCGCCGTAAGCGCCAGCCACACCTTTTCCAGCGCCACAAACATCCCCATAACCACACAAGCAGCGAAATTGGCCCAGATCACTCCTCCCAAGAACAGACCTTCGTAGGTGGTGAGTGCCATGAGCCCCTTTCGAGCCAAAACGCCCCAGATGGCCCCATTGGCAATATTAAGAAGTGTAGAGACCGGAGAAGCCGGTTTGACCTGTTTTCTGGGAGTTTCCTTGATTGACTCTTGAGATGTATTGAACCCTTCAGGAAGAGCCTCGTGGAGCGACTCAGCTTCTAGTTCTTGAAGACGCGTCTCGGCACGCCGTAGCAGCGACAGCCGACGCGACATGAGGGAGGTTTTGGGAGGATTTTGAAGAAAAGGGATGTAGTTGGAGGAGGAACGGTTTGTTGATATTCAGGTATGAAATGACACATTTGACAGGTGGTTATGTGCAGGAGGAAAGGGAGGAAAGGGTATGATTTTGGTGGAAGGAAGGATGGAAGTTGGGAATTGGATGGTAGGTTGGAGTTAGTGGGGAGGGAGGATGAAGATTTAAAAGTTTGGTGGTGTTTGGAGGCCTGGTCGTGGAGATAGATGGGGGTTGGTGGTCCGCTGAGGTGCGATAAGCGAGAGATAAGCGATGGATGGGTGGAAATGGGGTGGAGGGGGACTGGGGATGGCTGATTTGGGGTCAATTGGGGAGTGTGGAGGTGGAGAAATGGGGTGGGAAGTTTTGAGTGGAATTGGAACCGTTTTGGGCGAGAAATGGTGGGTAGATGGAGGGTTAGTATATGGAGGTGTATGGAGAGGACGTCAGTGAGTGAAAAGTGGCACCAAATGTGGGATAATGTCTTTGAAAGTGATTTAGTTATGTTTTGGGGGGTTTTTAGTGTTGGGTAGAGGTATTTTGGTTTGTTTTTGTTTGAAATTCATGGACCTTACTGGACATACTGGAAGGCCTGGTAATGAAACGAAGAGTACCACTGATTTCCTCCAAGAAGGCTTATTAACAGCTAACTTTCTGTAGATTCCACTTAAAACATCTCTCTCTCTTTTGTCCCCTGGTGTTCTTCTTCGTTCCCTGGCGTTACACATTGAAATACATGGACATTACTAATTCTACTACAGTTTATAGACATCCCCAGCTATCCACCTTTATAGAGCTGCAAACACCAAATAAAGCAAATACTACTGTTTTTTAAGGTCTCCTTTTCACTCCCACTTACGTTCAACCACTCACAGTAACCAGTTCCCAAAACATCTAGGCCTTTCCAGAAACTCACCTACAAGCATCAAGAGACACAGCCAAGTAACCAAACACACTCTGCCCACTCCAAGGAAGCTCAAAATAAGCCAAGCCAACCTTACTTAACCTTCCTTCATCTCCTTTATCTCCCTACATTCACCCTACAATACAAACCTCCTTTCACACCTTCACCTAGTGTAATCCACGTAAACCACCAGCTAAACCTACTCAAACCCGTCCAACCAGAAAACCACCTCTGAATTCCTTAAACTACGCCCCTCCAGTTTCCCAACACACCCTTTTCCCGTTCTCCCCGTCCTTCCTTACCCCAATTACTGACATCTCCAGCCATTCCTACCATATTCAATGAAGCCCATGAAGAACCACCAAAATGGCAGTCCCAACTCTCCAAAGCACCTCTAAAGCACCCCCAAGTCACCTCCAGAACACCCCTAAATCACCCTCTTTCCATCAAAATCCCAAATCTACCTTCAACGCTCACTCTGCCCTGCCAGCCAAATACAGATCCACATCTCCTAAACCAACCAAATCCTTTCCATTCCTTTTCCTTTCCCATCCCATCAAATTCCCTGAACCACCTTTTTTCCGTTCCTTTCCACCCAAACATAAATCCGTTCTTCTTCTTCTTCTTCTTCTTCTTCTTCTTCTTCTTCTTCTTCTTCTTCTTCTTCTTCTTCTTCTTCTTCTTCTTCTTCTTCTTCTTCCTCTTCCACTGCCTCCCCTTCCTTCCTCTGCCAAGCTTCCCCTTCCCCTTCCTTCCTTGGCTGCCGTTTTCTTTCTTCCACGAACCGGCTGCTCTGCGGGCCGGATGGTCCGTGTCTTAACGGTACGGCGGGTAAACGGTGGGACCAAGAAGATGGAGGTAAGTGGATTTGGTGGAAAATGGGAGTTTTGGAACGAAAGTGGGTTCCCCAGAAAGAGGAAAATTCCCTGATTTCAGAAATACCTTTAATTCTTCAGTATCTTTATTACTTCGTTTTTTATGTTTCGTTGATGCCTTAGATAAAGACGTTTTACTGCGCAATGACGAATATCTACTTTTCCAGCCAAGAACCGTGAAAACATGAAAAAACCACCGTTCTGTTCGTCTATTCCCGCTGAATACAGCCATGGCATTGCAATTACAAAAACTCCCACCGTTCTACCCCCAAAACTGCCGTTTCTACCTTGTTCCTCTCCGGCTCCCGCACATGCTTTTCCACGCATTAGTAATACCACTGAATGCCCAAACCTTACCCAAAAAACACCATTTTTGACCATTCCAATGCCACAGCATTCCTCTCCACGTCTCCACGACCCGATCCATACCAATTTCACCAACTCTCCATTCCTCCTTCCCCTCCAACTCAACACCTCCCGAAATGGCTGCAAAATGCCATCAAAAACATACACCTCCAATTATCTCGCCCAATAATGCCCCAAACACCCCAAAATTCGTACACCCACTAACCCAGCCTCCCTGATTCCAACCATCCAATCAGATTTCTCATATCTTTATTCGTTCACCGCCCACACGTATCCTCTTCAGGAACACCTCTGGTGCCTTATGACGCGAGATCTCCTGCAGAGCTGGAGCTCCAAAAATGCGCAAAAAAACGCGGTCGGCTGCCTCTTCCCGGATCCGAAACCTTCACTTTGAAGCGTAAAGAGACAGGTAGAACCCACTTTTTCTTTCGCTAAAGGCCCGTTTTTTTCGTTTTTTTCGGTTTTCCAGGTGTTTCAGATTTTCCATATATTCCATTTTTTTCACGTTTTTCACGTTTTTCACGTTTTTCATTGATCCCTTTTTGCCCCCCTTTGGTCAGATCAACCTTTTGTCCCTTCTTGAAATCCAACAGCCATGCTGTTTCCAAATCCCAAATCGCCTTTCCAGGATCCAGACGAGGCGTCGACGGTTTCAGCTGACGTTTCAGGTGACGTTTCATCTTCTCAGGCTGAAACAGACTCGCTAGCGCTGATGGTCCAGCTGCCTCAGCTAAACATCAAGAAGAAACCTCTGTTGAGGTTTGCATTGCCCAGGGTGGCGTCACGCCGTGAACTGCCGTTTGCTGACTCTCACGAGACGTTCGAGGAGCCAAATCTGCCCCTGGCAGCGTCTTTTGACCACGAAGCACCAATGAAAAGGCTTCGATGGGGTACGACTCGTCACGCCACGGGAAGACCCAAAAAGGAGTCGCTAGGACGCTCAAAGACACTTAAACAGGTGCTACGGTCGAAACTGAAACGGTCGCCGAGGAAACCACACGCAGAAGGCCGTCCTGAATCGGCAGAAATCGATTTAGACATTATTGATGATTATGTGGATGAAAAACCGGCTGCCGAGGCGCTGGCGGCGGAAAACGATAAGAAACACGAAACTCGGACGGTTTTCTTTAATAGAAGACTACCGCTGCTGATGGTGGACCCGAAAACAGGTAAAGCAGCTACAAACTACCCAAGAAACAAAACGAGAAGTGCAAAGTATACGCCGCTTTCGTTTCTACCCAAAATGCTTACCAAGAGCTTTACTTCCGATATTGCCAACTCGTACTTTTTGTTTCTTATCATTTTGGGAGCGTTTCCGATCTTTGGCGTGCCCAGTCCTGTTCTAGCTGCTGTGCCGTTGATTGTCATTCTTATTATTACTGCCCTAAAAGAGATGATTGAGGATTCACGAAGAACCGCTCAAGATATTGAAGTAAACAACCAAACAACACATATCTTGTCTCAGGTGAGAGACGACCTGGAGTATGCATATGAAAACCCAAACGTCAACGACGAGAAAGTGTCGCTTTGGCGCCGTTTCAAGAAACTCAACTCCAGGCTCTTGCTTCGCTTTGTTCGTCTGTTTCTCCGTAATTGCACCAGCAAGGGCAGGGCCCAGAAGAAACGTGAGGAAGTGCAGCCGTCCAGAGAAGCCAACAGGAAGAGTTTTGATAGTATGGTGGATTTGGCCCCGAGAGAGTCAATGCATGGCAATAGGAAATCTTTTGCTTCAAGAAGATCTTACCATGGAAAGGAGAAGACATTGGCATTTTCAAGACAAACATGGAAGGAAGTTAAGGTTGGCGATGTAATTCGTGTTCAGAACAACGAGGAGGTTCCAGCTGATGTGCTTATTTTATCATCCAGTGATTCAGATAACTGTTGTTTCGTGGAAACCAAGAACCTTGATGGAGAAACCAACCTTAAGGTTAAACAAGCTATGAAGTTTTCTTCCCAGAACCATGAACTCAAACGTGCTGACGATTTCATGGGCATTGACTTTGAAGTGGAAAGTGAAGGTCCACACCCAAACCTTTACTCATACCAGGGTTTTGTTTTGCATAGCATGCAAGGAGAACCACTGAAAGAGCCTGCCACGGTGAACAACTTGATGCTTCGTGGATGTACGTTGAGAAACACGAAATGGGTTGTGGGAATTGTCCTTTTCACAGGTCCAGATACGAAAATCATTCTTAACACGGGTGTTACGCCGTATAAGAAGTCGAAGTTGTCTCGAGAGCTTAATTACTACGTTTTGGTTAATTTCGGTGTGCTTTTCTTGATTTGCTTCGTTTCTGGACTCTTCAACGGTCTATATTACCGAGAAGAAGGAACTTCACGAGACTTTTTTGAATTTGGAACGATTGCTGGCTCTCCAGCTACAAACGGGTTGGTTTCTTTCTTTGTTGCAGTCATTTTGTACCAAGCGTTGGTGCCCATTTCGTTATACATCACCATTGAGATCATCAAGTCGATGCAAGCGTACTTTATTTATTCTGACGTTGGATTGTACTATGATAAACTTGATTTTCCGTGCAACCCGAAATCGTGGAGTATTTCAGATGATCTTGGCCAGATTGAGTACGTTTTCAGTGATAAAACAGGTACTCTTACACAGAACTTGATGGAGTTCAGAAAGTGTACTATCAGAGGGGTTTCTTACGGTAACGCATACACAGAAGCTTTGGCAGGGTTAAGAAAGCGTCAAGGCGTGGATGTGGAGAAAGAGAGCCGTGAACAAAAAGAACTAATTGCACAAGAAAAGGCTGAAATGCTTGCTGACCTCCAAAGTATCAGTGAGAACATTTACGATGACGAGTTGAGTTTGGTTTCGAAACAGTTTGTTTCTGACCTTAAAGGGCTTTCTGGATCTGAACAAAAAGACGCGAATGCTGAATTTATGCTTACTTTGGCTTTATGTCACTCGGTTGTGGTTGAAGAAGACCCTAAAGATCCTGATAGAAAGCTTCTTAAAGCTCAATCGCCAGATGAAGCTGCTTTGGTTGGAACCGCTCGTGCTTTGGGTTACTGTTTCCTGAGCAAGAGCAAAACAGGCTACAATTTGCTGATTCATGGAAAAGAACAGGAGTTCCAAGTGTTAAACACACTTGAATTTAACTCTACAAGAAAGAGAATGAGTGCTATTATTAAAATGCCAGCTGAGAAGGAAGGAGCCGAACCTAAGATTGTTCTTCTTTGTAAAGGTGCAGATTCCATCATTTACTCTCGTTTATCCAAAACCAAGAACTCCCAGGAGATGCTCGATAAGACGTCAGCTCATTTGCAAGACTACGCTACTGAAGGTTTGAGAACGCTTTGTATTGCCAAAAGAGAATTGACGCCTAGTCAATATAAAGAATGGAACAAAAGACACTTGGAGGCGTCAGCTTCGCTTGAAGATAGAGAAGAGAGAATGGAGACGGTGGCAGATTCCATTGAACGTGAATTGGAGCTTCTTGGCGGTACTGCCATTGAAGATAGACTCCAAGATGGAGTTCCCGACTCGATTTCGTTATTATCGGAAGCAGGTATTAAATTGTGGGTTTTAACTGGAGATAAAGTTGAAACCGCCATCAACATTGGATTTTCATGCAATTTGCTTGGAAACGATATGGAATTGCTCGTTTTAAAGACAGATTTGACCGACGACGAGAAGAAGAGAAACGGCGTTATTCCTGGCGACGACAACGAAACCATCATTGGCCGTTTGGTATCGAATTACTTGGAGAAATTCAACATGAATGGGTCCATTGAAGAGCTCGAAGCTGCCAAACAAGACCATTCTACGCCTGACGGCAGGTACGGCGTGGTTATCGACGGTGACGCTTTGAAAATCGCCCTTGCAGATGACGATACCAGAAGAAAGTTCCTTCTTTTGTGTAAACAGTGCCGTGCTGTTTTGTGTTGTCGTGTTTCGCCAGCTCAAAAAGCTGCTGTCGTGCAAATGGTTAAAGATACACTTGAAGTGATGACATTGGCCATTGGCGACGGTTCCAACGATGTGGCTATGATCCAAGCTGCAGATGTAGGCGTGGGAATTGCCGGTGAAGAAGGTCGCCAGGCAGCCATGTCTTCAGATTATGCACTTGGCCAGTTCAGGTTCCTCACTCGTCTTCTTCTTACTCACGGAAGATGGGCGTACAGAAGAATGGGCGAGATGATTCCTTGTTTCTTTTACAAGAACATCAACTATACGTTTGCGTTGTTCTGGTACAGTATCTTCAACAACTTTGACGGGTCGTACTTGTTTGATTTCACGTACTTGACGTTCTGCAACTTGGCGTTCACGTCTTTGCCGGTTATTGTGTTGGCTGTTTTTGACCAAGACGTCAGTCCAACCGTTTCCATGCTTGTTCCTCAATTGTACCGAGTGGGAATCATGCAAACCGAGTTTAGCCAATGGAAAGTCTGGGTATACATGATGGACGGGTTCTTCCAGTCGGTGATCTCCTTCTTTTTCCCCTGGCTTCTTTACTACCAGACTTTCCCAGTTATGCAAGGTTTGGGAGCTGACCATAGGTTTTACCTTGGTGTCACCGTAACGTGTATTTCGTGTATTGCCAGTAACACGTATGTGTGGTTGCAGCAGTACAGATGGGACTGGGTTTCTTTCCTTTGCAATATCTTTGGAGGACTTATCATTTTCGCCTGGACTGGCGTTTACACTTCGTTTACTGCTTCCCAGGAGTTTTACAAAGCAGCAGCCATTGTTTTCGGTACAGCGTCGTTCTGGGCATGTTTCTTTATTGGTCTTGTGAGTTGTCTCTTGCCCAGGTTCTGTTACGACGCCATCAGAAGACTTTATTTCCCCAGAGACCTGGAAATCATCAGGGAATGCGTGAAACGTGGAGATTTCCTGAAGTACCCTAGAGACTATGACCCCACGGATCCTAACCGAGTCCGGGTGGAAAACACCAAGTTGGAACTGGACTCTACTCTTATTGAAGAGAAGATCGAAAACAAATCACCCCAGCAACGCAAACTGGTGGTTGATATGGTCAGAAGACTGATGATTGGCAAATCTTCCTTCTACAAAGACAATACGGATATCATTGAAACGTACAAGCTCGAGAATATCAGCACGGCTGCACTTGCACAAGCCGAAGACGAAAACGAAGCAACATCTGGCCATGTGGTTCTGCGTCAGCCAACAAACGTACGGACGTCGCTTGAATTACATGAACTCACAACGGTAAGCTCACTTCGAGAGGTGGTGGGCCAGAAATTTGGACAATAACGGCGTTTTTTTCTGGATTATGATTTTACGATATTTTAAAAAAGAGGCTTCGTGCCAATGGATTATAGAATGAACATTTCACTAAAAGGTGTAGGTTTTGGATATAGTAAAGAAGATGTTTCAGAGACATCCTATTGCAATTTTAGTAACCTGTTTTTGTCGGAACGACTCGTTCCAGGCAACGACCCATCAATTGACATGCTGGTGGTGTTAAAAACCGACTTTTGGCGTTTCCCGTGATTCTGGGCAGCCAATCGCAAGATTATCCGAAACTCCGTATACCTTTTGGTGAAGGGTATACGAAAGGAGACCAAAAGAAAGGGGAACAAAAAAGTAAGACAACTTCTGGGACCACTGAAGGCGCCTGATTACGGTGGTATGGTTAGTTTTTGGTAGAAATCACTCAATGGCGAGATATATGGGTTCGTTTAGGATCTATGGTTTAATTGGTCCACACTTTTTAGACTACGCTGGGGAGGTCAATTTTGGTCGGATTTTGATGGGAATTGGACTGGTGAGGTGCTTAAATCCGGCGCTATCTCCGGAAACCACTACCATCACCTAACTCCCACTAATTCCCATCCCTTTACAACCTCCTGTCAAACCACCATTTGGGTGCAAAAAGACTGAAAAACGCCAAAAAAAGAAAGAAAAAAGCCACAGGTCAATTCGCGCCTGAAGAAAAAAAAAAGTGCGACATTTTTTACTTGGATCAAAAATAAAAAAAAAAAAAAAAGTACCAGCAATCCCCCAAAAATCTCCAAAAACTCTCTTTCTTCTCTTTTTCGTTCAAATTTGTAAATCAAATATTTTTCTCCAAATCCACTTTCCCCCCTTCAAACTACCAAAAAATCACCACTTTTGTGTCAAAACCGCCGCTGTTTCTCTGACTTCGACGACCTTCGCAGCTGCGTTTTGCACCCAATCGAAGCCGCCAGGCAACGCCAGGCGACGCCAACTTCGAGCCGAGGAAGACGACGAAGATTGGGGGCAGTTTGGGGGAAAAGGGGTCCAGGAACGGAAGGAGAAGGCGAGGGGCGTCGCTTGCTCTTGCCGTTTATAGCAAGTCTCTTTAAAGTCTCTTAATTTTCAATTCCTGGTGGTGAAATATCATTGACTTCTCGGAGCCGTTGGTTGAATTTCTTGAGGGTTTTTGGTGCGGGCGGCATGAAAAAAAAAAAAAAATTCCTCGCTGGAGAGTTTGAGAAAAGCAAAGAGAAAAATGTCGCGCCTGGCGTTTCTTTTGGCGATCTCCGGGAAAGAAATGGCCGGCCTTTTGGGGGTGAAAAAGGGCCTGGTGTACGGGTTTTACCGACAAAAACAACATTTCCAGTGCATTGCCACCCTAGGGAACCCCCGGGTACGTTTTTTTCCGCTTTTCAAACGCCTCTGGAGCTCCGATCTGGGGTTTAAAGTATGGGGAAGGTAGTGTATTGCATATAAGCCTGGTTCAAGAAACCTACTTGCTATCCAATCAGAGACGCGTATTCAGGTGAAAAACTTGGTGAGAACCCGAAAACAGCCGGCCAGTCACGTGACTCTCTGTGCGACATTTCTTTCACTTTTTATCAACGTTGCAAAATAAAAAGGCCTGAAAATTTGTCGCGAATTAATTGTTATATAAACGACGTCCACCCCCCCGAAAAACCAAATTTTCCTCTTTTTTTTTTTTCCCTTTTCTTCTTCAGATTTGTCTTAATCCCACACATATTCATTTTAAACTTATCTAAAAATGGCCATTCAAGACAACGCATTTTTGGTAGACTTCTTGATGGGTGGTGTTTCCGCCGCCGTCTCTAAGACCGCCGCTGCTCCAATTGAGAGAGTCAAGTTGTTGATTCAGAACCAGGAGGAGATGCTTAAGCAGGGCCGTTTGTCCCACAAGTACACTGGTATCGTCGACTGTTTCAGAAGAACTGCTGCTGACGAGGGTATTGTCTCTTTGTGGAGAGGTAACACTGCCAATGTTATCAGATACTTCCCAACCCAGGCCTTGAACTTTGCTTTCAAGGACAAGTTCAAGAAGATGTTTGGTTACAAGAAGGAGGAGGGTTACGCCAAGTGGATGGCTGGTAACTTGGCTTCCGGTGGTCTTGCCGGTGCCACTTCTTTGGCTTTTGTCTACTCTTTGGACTATGCCAGAACCAGATTGGCTAACGATGCCAAGTCCACCAAGGCTGGTGGTGGAGACAGACAGTTCAACGGTTTGTTGGATGTTTACAAGAAGACCTTGGCCACTGACGGTATTGCCGGTTTGTACAGAGGTTTCGGTCCATCTGTTGTTGGTATCATTGTCTACAGAGGTCTTTACTTTGGTATGTACGATTCCTTGAAGCCAGTTGTCCTTGTTGGTCCATTGGAGGGTTCTTTCCTTGCTTCTTTCTTGTTGGGTTGGGGTGTTACCACCGGTGCCGGTGCTGCTTCTTACCCATTGGACACCATCAGAAGAAGAATGATGATGACCTCTGGTGCTGCCGTTAAGTACAACGGTGCTTGGGACTGTTTCAAGAAGGTCGTTGCCCAGGAGGGTGTCTACTCTTTGTTCAAGGGTTGCGGTGCTAACATCTTGAGAGGTGTTGCCGGTGCTGGTGTCATTTCCTTGTACGACCAGTTGCAGGTTATCTTGTTCGGTAAGAAGTTCTAAGTCCACTACCTCTTACAGTGTCTTTAGAATAAATTATTGAGTTGATTCATTCCATTACATTGGACTCTTATGTATATAATGTTTAGTTTAATGTGATGTGTTGTACCAAGATATTGTGTAGTTTTTTGATAACCTTGGTGGTGGTTATCGCCGACTTGGGAGCAACGCATTTTGATTGGGTACCACGGGTGGCAGTCACGTGAAATTTTTCAGATCGGGCACGTGACGGAATGTCATGTGTTTATCATCACGTGCCTATCGGCACGTGCCTCACTACAACCAAACCCACTCCAAAATCATACTTTAAATACCTCTGGTCTAACCAAATAATGTACCGGCAGTCAACAAGACAAGGACATGGGCCGCTATCTGACGCTTCACCACCTTGAAAAAGCGCCAGAAAAAAAAAACACTCGTCATTTGATTCCCGAGTTTGGCCCCCCTTCTTGCAAGCAACATACCGATATCCCCAAGATTCAATCAGACACAGAAGCAACATATATAAACTTTTTTTTTTTTGAAATATTCTGTCAATTTTTTTCATTGCTGAACCTTTTCAAAGTTCAAGTACAACAAGTCGTAGGCGCCCTTCAAGTCGTAAGTAACCTTCTCCTGCTTGGAATAGCCCAACTTGGCAACAGCCTCGTCACACAGAGACAACTGAGACAAGCAGTGGACGCCTTCATTGTCCTTTTCGTTCACCAAAGTCATGGAAAACTTGCCGGGATGGAAAATACGCAAAACACGAATCAACACATCCACAATGCCCACTGGCGAAGTGGACAGGAACGGATAGTTGGTTTCAAACGAAGCATAAGACCATCCCAGCTCAGGCGTGATGTGCAAAGTGTAATAGTAGCCATGGCCATTTTTCGAGCAAACCGAGTTGGACGAGTATCCACAGGGAGAGAACGCAAAGGCGTCATGAGCGAATTCCCATTTCTCGTCGAGCTCTTCATCCGAAAGTTCCATATTTTCACTCATTTGAGGCGAAGGCATATGAAAAGGCGTAGTCACTGAAGGAGCGTAGTTGCCATGGGCATGAGCCGTGCTGGAAGGTAAAAACACGTTTTCAAGCCCAGTGTCTCTCATTGTTTCCAAGCCTTGGTCATGGCCCAAATCGTGTTCTTCTTCATCACTGGAATGAGTAACTACCGATTCAGGACCAGGTTCACGAGAAGTGACAAAAGAACGGGCTCTCAGAGGGTCAAGCTGGGTCATAAGGATTTCAAAAGTTTGGTCGTTACAGCCCAGACATGGCTTTCCTGTTTGGTTCCCGCCCATGTACAAGTACCAGTGGTCATCGGACGTAAAGTCTCCTACAACATAGGACTTGCCCTGGACAAAGTACTGGTTGAGCAACAGAACCTCGTTCTTCCAGTCAGTATGAACGTGTTTCTGTTTTTCAGGAAACATGAACGATCTTCTGGAATAAAAAACCTGGTACACTTCTTTGGAATTGACTTTGCAGCCAAGTTCTTCATTTGCAACCTTGAACAACTGGTCAAGGCAAGCCAAAGTGGTAGTTGTACCGCATGTTTTAAGCACAAGTTTATGAGGAAACACGAAAAGCGACAGTTCCGACAAAAGGTAAGCGTCCACGGCCTTGGAAGACTTGACCAGGAGCACTTTACAATTGACCAAGTCCAACACCTTGACCCATTTGGCCAAAGGAATCAGACGAAGCCCTTGCAGAGAAGGCAGCATCGAAGGCAGTTGCCAGAACCAAACCTCCAAAAGCTTTTCAGGCCCTTCAAAGGCAAACGTGGAGTCTAAATTAGCAGATAATACATGGTCGACGTAGTCCTCGGCGGCAGATACAACCATAACTCAGGGTAAGGTGGATTGAAACTTGCTCTTGGGAAAGGGCAGACAGCTGAAACGAAAAGAGAAGTAGCAAGAAACGCTTCAGCAGGTGTGTCTTCGATGTAGTGTGGGTTCTTTCACTAAAGGCGGAAGGGGGAGGGTCGACAACCGATAGTGAAGTTGGTTTTCAAGCAGTTTGCTCAGGGGTAAAGGAAACAACAACAAAAGGAGGTGTTACCCGGGTTCGACGGTGGTGTTATATAGATGTGATAGGTTCGATCGTGAGGGTTTCTTTGGCATAAACCGCTGGGAGGGCTAACAAAGATGGAGAATGCGGCTGTTGACGACCTTTGTATGAGCAAGCAGGCGTAACAGCAAGAAACAGCGTGGAATGAACAGGTGTTTTTTTGGAAAAGGTTGGTTGGTTTTCCAAGAAGAGTTGGGTGGATGGAAGTTGATTGTTGCTCCCGGCCACTGAAGAAAGCAAATTTTCATTCCTGCAGTGAAGCCTATGGAAGCCAAGCAACCACCAGGTGTTACTGAAGGTAGATAAGGGAGGGAGGGAAGGGAAATTAGTGGTTTAGAGATTAAGGTGAAGTTTAGAGTTGATTTGGGGGAGATTGGGGGTTTGGGGGACCTGGTGATGTCGTTTTTTATGGATTAGAGTGGTGCGACGAAACCTGGGGAAACGAGATGGCCTGGAGGGTGGTAGATGGTGGTGTTTGGGTGTTTTGGGCCTGTTTTTAATGGTTTTAAAGGGTTTAGGTGGTTTTTGGGGGTCGAATTTGCCTATTTTGATGCTTTGATTGGTGATTTTTTTTGTTTCCAGCGCTTTGACTGCTCTTGTGACGGGTTTTTGGCGGCGTGGTGGGTGCAAAAAAATGGAAAAACGAGCGCTTCCATGCGGAGAAAATGTGACTCAGCAATGACGAAAATGGACGCTGGAGGTTGGAAATTTGGCAAGATTTGGGGGATACGAAGCGTGCCGGGTTTTTGGCGTGGTATGGCTTTCTTTTTTCTATTTTTAGAAGTCGAAAAACCATAAAAGAAGGGTTTTTGGAGTTTTGGCTGCAAATGATTCAGCGCAAGTGGAATAATTTCCCACTCGCATTTGCTTGAAAAAGATCAGCGCCAAACATGCTCGCTTAATTTCGAAAAGGGGACGAAGGAGGTGGAAGCGTTTTGGAATTATTTAGGGGATAATTAATCCGGAGATAGGATATAAGCAGGCTTAACTCCGGGAAATTCAAATATCATCTCTCTTTTTTAAAGATTTCATCTCTCTTCTCTCTCTATCCATCTGGGGCAGCTTGTGGCGGTGCAAATGTCTCAGATTTTCTTCTCTGGCTGCGCGCGCCGTGCAGAAAAGGGAAGGTGCGCTAGGAAGGTTTGGGGAGATTCCGATGGAATGTGGGTTTCTCGTCGGAATTTCATGGTTTTAAGGGCTTTGATGGAATAAGGGTCCTGGTTTGTTGGGGGTATTTTTTTTGCCGGAATTTTGATGTTTCTGTGTTTTTTGGTGTGTATTTTTTGGTTTTCGTTTTATGCAATGGTTGCTGCGAATGGGTGCAAATTCGTGAATAATTACAGTAATTTGGAATTAAGGTTCATATGTAAATATATGGAAAATGAAAGAAATACTTTTTTTAGAAAGAGGAATCACGGAAAGAAGCACTTTTTCAGTCCTTATATTGTTTGGCATTTTTGCAGCCTCAAACTGTCCAGTATATCTGGAAATGGCTTGCCAGAGCAATAGCTGATTCATCCGATTGGACAATTACATCTACGTTCTTTCTCTATAGTTGCAGCTCTTGCTCAAGGGATTTAAGAATACCATGAAGATTGAATCTTTATAGAGGGAGGCTCATCCATGGCTTAGGTAGGGGTTATGTGATTTGAGAGATCCAACCGTATAATACCTTCTCCATAGATATGGTTTGAAGTGTATCAGGTACATATTTTGCAGCATTTTATTAAAAAAGCCCTCGCAGTTTAAAAGAAGCCCATTCCTTCATAAGCTCAATCTTCTTCAGTCTTTTAGTACTGGGTTCTGGTATAGCTAAACGTTAGGTCTTGAAAGCAACCATTACCAGTATAACAAGACAAGTACAATCTCCGCCTCTCATGCTACTTCAGATTACTTTCTTAGTAGATCAGAGTTACTTGGATGAGCTTACATTTTCACCATAGCGTAAAGTGTTGCTTTTGACTTTCTTTCACTCTCAGGACCAAGTGATACTTCTCGGTACTATCACTTCCAACTGGTATAAAAAGCCGTAGAGCTCTCTCCCAGGTTGTCTTCAGAAATTCCCCACTCAAGAGCTTAAAGAGGGTTTATAGGTAAAACTGCAAGCGATTTTTTAGGGCTTCAAGGATACCCATCTAGCCAAACGGTACCTTCTTTCCCAGTCTATGAATATCCAAAGAACATAAGGAACCAACAAAACATTCCCCAAAACCTCCATAAACCCCAACTCAACTTCCCATACATCAGAACCACCTTCACTTCCTTCAAGTGTCCAAGCGTCACAGCCCACGCACAGACTGGGGTGCATCGATGAAGCATGTTCCAGACTTACGTCATCAGGAGAACCGAGCGGCTGGACATGGATGTTTTGGAAACCAAGATATAAATAAGTAGAGGGGTCGCCTTAAGAACCAAGGGAATGTTCTATTTAGGTAGAAATAATGCCTTGTTGGCCTGCTGAACAAAACCACTCTTGGTGAGGCTTTTCATGGCATTTTGCACCCACAAAAAACGCCCATAAGGAAACAAAAAACACAAAACCAGACAATCCTCCCATTTTTCTTGGTCCCGAAATTCCCCAAAACACCCTTCCTGCTGCCTCTTCATCACTCCTAGTCCATCCATCCAGCCCACTTCCTCATCTCTATATTCCACTCCAGCACCTGCCAAACCATCCCATATAAAACCACCAAAAACCATCTAAAACCCCCAAAATCAACCTGCCACCACTTTAGCCACCCCTAATTACCCCCAACCACTTCCCTTCCCTTCCCAGTCCCTCCTTTTCCCAAAACCACCACCCTCCCCAAATACACCTTCCATGCCGTATTCTCATCGAACATCATCTGACACCAACTACATGCTTTTCACCTTCGACGAAGACCCTGAGCCTCCAGACCCTCTGCCAGCGGTAGGAATCCCTATTCCGAAAACTGGAAAGCCAGAAAACCACTTTTTGCAGCCTTCCAGCCAGGGCAGCTTCCTGAACAGCCTAGGACTGGGCATCAAAACAGGAACCAGCTTTAAAGGTGGAAGCTTCCAGGATCTTCACAGTAACGTGTCGAAACTGCCACGTGTTCATCGCAGGTCGTCAGTGTACAGAAGACTTTCAGTGTGGTCGACGAGTTCTACAGCTGGTATTACCATTCCGTCTGGCTACAACGAGGAATCTGAGAGTAAGGGAGAAAGAGCCTTGGAGACTTTGTACCGCTTCGTGTGTTGGCCAGGGGCTTATGGGAAAGTTCATCTTGTTAAGGATAAACATAACGGGCGGCTTTATGCCCAGAAACAGATCAGAAAGCCTCAGATTGATGTTCATGAGGATAACGTTAAAGGTGTCCATGTGAGCCATATCCAGAGAACGCTTGCTGAGCGGCAGATATTGACCCAGGTGACCCACCATGCTAATATAGTGAAGCTTTTTTATGCGTTGCAGGACCATGACCGGTTTTACTTGCTTTTGGAGTACATTCCTGGTGGAGAGTTGTTCTACCATTTGACTTCAGGTAATGCTTTGGGCAATGTGTTTAAAGAGGACCACGTGGCGTTCTACGCCGCTGAAATGGCCTTGGGACTTCGTCATTTACATCTGTTGGGTATAGTGTACCGGGACTTGAAGCCGGAAAACTGTCTTTTGAACTCGGCTGGCCATTTGGTGCTTACTGACTTTGGCCTTTCCAAGGCTATTTCCAACGACGACGAAAGCGCTTGTAGGTCTATTATTGGCACGCCAGAGTACATGGCGCCAGAGACGATTCGAGGCGAGGCGTACGACTACGCTGTGGACTGGTGGCTGCTAGGATGCGTGATTTACGATATGATGACGGGGAAACCTCCGTTTACAGGCAAACTGCACGACGTGATCACCAAGAAGATTCTTCTGGCGAAACTCAACTTACCGTTTTACCTCACGCTCGACGCCAAGGACTTGTTGAACAAGCTTCTTCAAAAGAAGCCTGAAAAACGGTTTCAAGTGGATGAGAAATGGGACGCTTTCACCAACCATCGGTTTTTCAGGAAACTCAACTGGAACGCCATTATAGCACAGGATGACTCGGTGGTTCCTCCCATCATTCCTACCATTTCTGACCCGGAAATGGCCGAGAACTTTTCCGATGAGTTCACGTCGATGAAAGTGAGTGATTATGAAGTGGCTACTGCTCAGGCGTCGGGTAACCCTCAGGAACTCTTCCAGGGTTTAGTTTTGCCGCCAGTGGAAGTTATATTGATAAGTTCGGCCAGCTCAGAATGAGGGATGCCGATTTGAGTGTCTAAAGAACAGCGATATTAAAGATGGTTTGCTTTGGATCATTGATGTCAGGATACATCGGGGTCCATAGTCGTGGCTCAAAGAATACAGATTTTTGGTGGAGTCGAAGCAGCTTAGCTGAAGGTTGAATATTCAGCCCATCTTGAAAAAGGTACAGAGTCAAGAGTCTACTTATAATCCCTTCTTGAAGTTCTTCAGGGTCTCCTTATTGCATTTTAGGAGCCAAGGTATTGCTTGGGGATACTGGCAAAAGGTGCCATTAGTTCCCATCAACGAGCTTCAAGACACCACAGAAGTCAGATTTTTTGAAAGAGACGTCTTTGTTAACTTCTGTTACAGTTTATTATTATCTGGGTATACCCTTATCGCAGATATATACGATGCGGCTGCGTCATACATACAGGCCACGCATTAGACCACGGTTAAGCGAATCCACTGGAGCCAACCGTATACTTAGCCAAAGAGCCTTGAATGCTCTTCTTGAGTTTTTACTGTGATGGAGACACAGATAGTGGACAACACCCACGGTTTCACGGGTTTTCACCCTGCGAGACCCTGCAAATCGCAGTAAAGCTATGATAGTACACTTCTGGTTGAAAAGCCAAAGAACTGGATTTTGGCTGGTTCTTTCTTAATCAGGAAGTTTTTATACAGATTAGAAAGAGCTTAAATTATATTCAATTACAGGAAAGATTTATATAATGTCTTCATGACCGCGTTCCACCATACCTTATGCCTCTTGGAATACCGATGCTTAGTCTTACGTGAACTTCTCAAATCCAGGCCTATGTTAACTTGAAAGCTTCCAACTTACAGAGAAGAGTTCAACTCAGCTCTTTGTTGAACAGTTTATAGTCATCCAAGACACAGGAAATACTTCTCTTCTAGATAATGCCAAACATCCAAAACTTTAACACATAAGTATAAAAGGACACTTTACTACCCTGAAAAAGCCAATATATAAATTTTTAATAGCTGTTACTAAAGCTGAAAGAAAGAACGAGTACGTGAGATGGCTCCTTAGAGAGCACTGGACATTCCCAATTCACCATTACCACAACCTTCAAGAAACTTACTTCTAGGTTCACTGAGTGAAGCAGAAAGCGAGTGTTTGTAAGAAGCTCTTATAAATAAATCTATTGTATGTTTCAAATAGACCCGTCAAATGTCCAAACGAAGTTATATCTATCGCAGAGGCATTTAGAGTCCTCTGTCTTTCACACTAAGCATATACCAGTACATTACCCAAACTACATACCCTAAACAACAAATGAACACTATTTGAAAGACTATTCAATCTCTGAAATACTCCAAATACCTAAAATCCATCCAAATCCCGTCCCTGGTTGAACAAAGCACCAGTTGTTGAGTATAATACCATTAGTGCTCCTTTACTACCAGTTAAAACTACCTTACCATACACTTACCCAGCAACGACAACTCCAACAAAAACCACCCAACATGCCCAAGACTCCTCAATACCTCATCCATATCCCTTTTCCACTATAAATAGAGCCCACTCAGTCCAGCACCGCCAGGCCACGAGCTCATACCCATCCAGTTAAACACCTCCAAGCATTGCTCCCTCAGGCTTTCCAAATCCACCAAAAACAAAAGTACCCATAACTTTGGAACCCCTTAAACCCCAAAGCACCACCAAACAAAGCATCCCCACCCTCCCACCTCCCCAACCAACACATCCTCCGGAACACCCATTTCGCAGCCAAAAGTCACCCACCAACCATCCACCAAAGTCCGCAAAATCGTGTATTTAGAAAAATTAACTATAGAAAACGGCAAATTGGAGGCCAGGGAAGGCCCCAAAATACGAATTTTAATCATAAAATTCATCAGCGCCTGCCATCCCGCCTGGCGGCGGTCTGGGGCCTTTTGAGCCCCGCACGACCCTCGCTATCTTGACAACAGACCCTTTGCTTCCAAACCTCCATCAACTACAACACACACAATTACATCATGGACGAATCGCTCATTGCAACGATCAACAAGCTCCAGGATGCGCTTGCGCCACTAGGCGGAGGGCTGTCGTCGCCCGTGGACTTGCCCCAAATCACCGTCGTGGGGTCCCAGTCCAGCGGCAAATCGTCTGTGTTAGAGAACATCGTGGGCAGAGACTTTTTGCCTCGAGGAACAGGCATTGTCACGAGAAGACCGTTGGTTTTGCAGCTTATCAACAGAAGACCGGGCGTGAACAAGGCGGAAGATGCTGATAAGGTCAACAAGACCACCGAGAAGGGTGAGGAGCTGGAGAACAACTTGGAGGAGTGGGGAGAGTTCTTGCACTTGCCAAACAAGCGGTTTTATAACTTTGAGGAGATCAGGGCTGAGATTGTGAGGGAGACGGATGCTAAGACTGGTAAGAACTTGGGCATTCTGGCGGTTCCCATCAACTTGCGTATCTACTCTCCACATGTGTTGACCTTGACATTGGTGGACTTGCCGGGCTTGACAAAGGTGCCTGTGGGCGACCAGCCTAAAGATATTGAGCGTCAAATTAGGGAGATGTTGTTGAAGTACATTTCCAAGCCTAACGCTATCATCTTGGCTGTCAATGCTGCAAACACCGATTTGGCCAACTCGGACGGGTTGAAATTGGCCCGTGAGGTCGACCCAGAGGGCGCCCGTACCATTGGTGTGTTGACCAAGGTCGATTTGATGGACGAAGGTACTGATGTGGTGGATATTCTCGCCGGTAGAGTGATTCCCTTGAAGTTTGGCTACATTCCTGTGATCAACCGTGGCCAGAGAGATATCGAGCTGAAGAAGACCATCAGAGCGGCTCTTAATGACGAGACTGCTTTCTTTGAAAACCACCCTTCATACAAAGCCAAGTCCCAGTACTGTGGTACCGCTTTTTTGGCCAAGAAGTTGAACAGTATATTGTTGCACCACATCAAGAGCACTTTGCCAGATATCAAGTTGAGAATTGAAAACTCCTTGAAGCGTTACCAGAACGAATTGTCTATTTTGGGTCCAGAAATGCAGGAGAGCCCTACTTCCATTGCCTTGAGCATGATCACCAACTTTGCCAAGGACTACAATGAGATCTTGAACGGTGAGGCCAAGGAATTGTCTTCCCAGGAATTGAGCGGTGGTGCTCGTATTTCTTTCGTGTTCCACGAGATCTACAAGAATGGTGTCAACTCTATCGATCCCTTTGACCAGATTAAGGATGCCGATATCCGTACTATCATGCACAACACCTCTGGTTCTGCCCCATCCTTGTTTGTGGGTACCCAGGCGTTTGAGGTGCTTGTAAAGCAGCAGATCCACCGTTTGGAGGAACCATCGTTGCGTTGTGTCAACTTGATCTTTGACGAATTGACGCGTATCTTGAACCAGATTATCAGCCATCCTCAGTACTCCAGATACCCAATGTTGAAAGAGCGTCTTTCACAGTCATTTATTCAATTTTTGCGTGAGGAGTTGATCCCCACCAACAAGTTTGTCCTGGACGTGATTAGCTCTGAACAAACATACGTGAACACCGCCCACCCTGACTTGTTGAAGGGTCTGCAAGCCATGGCCATGGTGGAGGAGAAGTTCCACCCTAAGCCACAGGTTGCCATTGACCCTAAGTCAGGCAAGCCTTTGCCAGCCAGTCAACAACCAGCACCAGCACAACAAGCACAGTCCAAGGAGGAGTCTAACGGGTTCTTTGGCGGATTCTTCTCGTCCAAGAACAAAAAGAGATTGCAACTGATGGAAGCACCACCACCAGTGTTGCGTGCTACGGGTCAGATGACAGAGCGTGAGCTGATGGAGACAGAAGTGATCAAGCTCTTAATCTCTTCGTACTTTAACATTGTCAAGAGAACGGTGGCAGATCTCGTGCCCAAGGCGGTGATGTTGAAGTTGATCACCAGGTCCAAGGACGAGATCCAGAAAGAGTTGTTGCTGAAGTTGTACAGTGCCGAGGACTTGGGCGACTTGGTTAAGGAGAACGAGGCCACGGTGCAAAAGAGAAAGGAGTGTTTGAAGATGGTGGAGGTGTTGAAGAATGCCAGCGAGATTGTCTCGAGCGTATAATACGCAGCCCTATAAAGATTTAGATATATAGCCTAATGTGTTATTGATGAAGGGACGAGCGCTGCTTGTCTACGCTTTGTAGAAGCTAGCTAAGGTGTTGTTGATGAAAAGACAAGCGTTGCTTGTCTACACTTCGTAGATGATAAAAAGCTAGCCTTATGTGTTGTTGGTTGCTTGGCTATGCCTCGTAGATGGTAAATTTCTCCAGAGTAGTCATAAAGAACGCCCAAAACGTCTCTTTTATGGTTTTAGGACTGCCAATGGCTCTGGAGTACCAAGAAGTCATCATAAATGTCTTTTTTGTGGGTATAAGGTCTTTTTTGTGGTTTTAAGATCTTTTTTATGGTTTTAAGGCCTTTTTTATGGTTTTAAGGAAATCAGCCAGCCTCCAGCTAGCCTCCAGCTTGCCTCCAGCGGCTAGCACTAACCATCAGCTAGCCTCCAGAGCCTCCAGCTAGCCCCAGCTAGCCTCCAGCTAGCCTCCAGCTAGCCTCCAGCTGGCGCTGGAGGCGTCGCTTCCGACTTCTACACCTCATAAATATTAAACAGAAGCTGGTCAGCCTCAAGCAACGCCCGTTCTGTGAGTTTCCACGGCACATTAAATATCCCACTGTTAATCTTCGGCATATTCACCACCACAAACCCATCCTTATCCCTCTCCACATCCTCCAACACCAGTAGTTGCCCAGCCAAGTCCATCAACGCTTGTCTAGTATACTCCACAATGTCACTAGGCGAATTGTCAAAGTTGCTTGTAAACAAACACGCAATGTACACGTTCTGGCGTCCTTCTGGCGGCAAAACACACAGTGTACCCAACAAAGTAGGCCCCTTCTCCTTACACACGGCTTCATACCGTTTACAAGCATCAGGGTACCGTTTAGCAAACTGGGCAGCTATGCCTCCCCCCACGAGCCGTGGGGGTTACAGGCGTGAGCCAAAACCGCCACTCGTTTGGATGTGTGGCCGAAAAGGTCGCCTTTTATGTAATTGAGCATATTTGGGAAAGAGGTGGTAGTAGTTGGAGGATGGAGAATTGAAGGATGGGGAGTTTTTCACTGGTGCGATTTGTGGGGTACAGTGGGTGGTAGTGGAGAGAGAAGAGAGAGAGAGGGAGAGAGGTAAGGGGATTTAGGAGTTAAGAGGTAGGAGTTAGGAGTTAGGGAATGGAAGGAGGTGGGTTGGTTTGGGTGGTTGGGAGTTGGATGGTTTGTAGAGAATGGAGAGACTGAGGAGGGCCAGTATTGAAGAAGGAGAGTGAGTTTGAAGGTATGGAGATGGAAGAAAAAAAGGGGAATAGAAGATGGGGAAGAGGATGGAAAAGATGGTTTTTTATGAGTTTAAGTAGCTTTTTTCTGTCAATGTAGGTGGCTTCATGGGGCATTGTAGTATAGTCGTCTGATGGAACCAAGTGAGCTTGTAGCTGCTTCAGAGGAACCATTCTGAGGGCATTTATCAAATTGAATAAAGCGGTTTCTTCCTTTTTTAAGCTTTTGTGATAACGTCTGATGAAACGGAAAAAAGGGTGGGTCCAGGAAATGGTTGTTATTTGGTGGTGTTCAGAGAGTGTACTATGTCAGCTCTGACTATTAGCTAGTTATTACGTCCTTGGAGAATCAGACAACAAGGATTTGTATTTATGATGATTTAGGTTTCCTATTGTTTGCAGTTCTGAGATAACAGTCTAACAGACATGGGTGAAGAGACGTGCCAGTCAATAGACCTTCTTCTTTTAGTACTTGTAGTTCTTCTTCTTTTTCTTTATCAGCAAAAGCCCCTAGAACCATGATGCTTATGGGAATTGAAGGAGCGATGATGCTCTTGTATTTTCCTGGTAAGATGAACTGAAGAAGTTCGAGAAATGGATATCATCTTGCTTCCGTAGGCGTCCATCAAACGCTTCCCATAACATTAAAGAGCGCCGAAAATGATGTTCTTAATGAAGATCATTGAACGTCTTTACATTCATGAGAAGCCTTCACTCGCCAGGTTCCTGATTCAGACCACAATTGTCCCTGGAACAACTCAATGCAACCGTCAAAGCAAAATCCTTCCTGGCACTTCCATCATCCCTCTTTTGGTACTTTCCTTCTCCCAGACATGCTATACATCTCCTTCCTTCCAGGGCCTCAAAACCTAAACGAAAGAGCCTCACCGGGACTCTTACAATTAATCCCATTATGCAAAAAGCCGTGTTCACAGCCACACCCAAACAAGTTATCCACCAGCTGCTCAGACTTCACTGCTTCCTCATATTTCGTCGCCTCAGGCGTACACTCAAAGAGAAACTGGTTGGAAACGACCTGCGTCTTGAACCCCTTAAACCTATCTTCTGGAGTGATCATGAAAAACTCAAGCTTATCGCCTTTCTTCAACTTGGCCTCTGGCGAAATCGCCAAAAGGTCAGCTTTGGCGCCCCAGCCGCCACCGCCTGCAATCACCTCGTACTTCTTGATTCCATCCTTCTGGTGCACTTTAACATACACCTTTGTATCCTTACTTTTGATACTCATCAAATCGTCGTTATTTTCAAGAAACTTGGCGGCCGGCACGGTATTGATCTTTTTCACCAAATTACCCGTACATTCAGTAATCTCCAAGTTGTCTCCCTCGCCCAATGGCGTCCATCTATCCATAGACTGTGGACGTGAAAGCGCTGGCGCCAACGCTGGAAGCTTCACCGTAAGCTCACAAAGCGTTTCGCCCATATTCTTATCCTTAGTAACCTCCTGGAGCTCTTTAGGTTGGAAATAGAACAACGTAGCCAACGTATTCGTTGCAAACGCTGTATTGGCCAAAGACAAGTCCACCGTTTCACCTTCTGTCACCTGAACCTTCAACGACGCATCGATCGTCTTCCAGTTCTCCCTGGCGCCCACAGCATGGACCCCGTCGCTTTCCCTAAGCGGCTGTTTATGGTCCTTTTCATTCAAATGCACCGAATCTGATATATCCATATACTCATCAAGCCAGAGCTCAGAAAGCCCTGAACGGACGCCATTGGGCACCACCGAGTCGACCCCAGCAACCACAACCTGAGTTTTTGCTATTTGGTGTAAGCTTATAGCGTTTTCGATGGCCACAGGTAGACTGGTGGGTGTTGCAAGGATAAGCAAGGCCTTAGCATTGAGCAGTTGAGGTGGAGAAAGCGTGGTATTTAGGTTAGGAGCGATTCTCGTACGTGCAAAGAAGGCAGCGGGGGAGGTTTTGGAAGTGGAGAATCCTCGTGTTGATCGTGTAAGTGATCTGGAGAACATCAGGTGGAGTGGTGGTGGAGTGGTAGAAGAGTGGAGGATGAGTGGAAAGTAAGGTGAGATGAGACTTCGCGATGGGCAGTGGAGGGGGCGTTGGAAGGTGGAGGAAGGGTATTTATGGAAATTGGAAGTTGGAGGGTGGAAGTTGGAAGTTAGTGGATTTAGTCGTTTCTGGTTCTTTGGAAAGGTTTGGTGGTTTGAATGAATGTGGTTGGAGGGTTGGTGGACTGGGAAGTGGTAAGTGGAATGGCTGCGAAAAGTGGACAGTCGCTGGGGGAGTGGAAGGTGGAGGTTGACTAAATGCTGTGATGTTTACTGCTTAATTCTAGATATGTAAATACTTCAAGGCAAAATAATTGGTTAGATGCTATTAGGCATTACTTTCTGTTCCTCTTCAGTTGGTGCTTTGACTCGCCAATGGTATCAAGCACAGACTGTGCATGTTCTGTAGTAAGAAGGGCATTGTCGTTGTCCTTGACGTAACGCAGAACCGTCAAAATCGTCAAAAGCTTGTCTCTATAAGAAACTGGGAAATGCAACAACGTCCGATTTCGAGGTTCCCACGGTCAAATCATGAATTAGAACAATAGCCGAAGTGAGTGGGCTGGGGGAGCCTGGAGAGAGATGGTGAAATGGAGAGGAAATGGAGAGGAAAGGTGGTGGATTGGGTACTTGGATGGAGGGTTGATGGTTTTTTGAGGAATTGGGAGTGGTTTTAGGAGTTCTGGGGATATGGTGTGGAAGGTTGAAGTGGATGAGGCAGAGGAAGAGGAGACAGAAGAGGAAACAGAAGAGGAGACAGAAGTGGAGGAAGAAGAATAAAATAAAACTTCAAAAGAATATTCGAAGATTACTGTTACTTCGCTGGTTTAAAAAATGTCCACGAGTCTGTGGTGATGTTTGACGCCAATAACGGCGACATCATTAACCACGTCAGTTTGAAAGCATTGGTTCAGCTTTCCGGAAGTTATTGAATACAACCTCATTTGTAAGTTCTTCTTGACGTATAAGACGTTTTCAGACATCAATAACGCTCTTAATCTTGCCAGACCTATGTGGGCTCTTCAGTACATCACCTCCAGGACGGAGGATACAAAACACATTGGTCAATTAGCGTCATTTGTGGTTTTAAGATATTGTGTTGAGCTGCTTTGTTGGCGATTGGTTTGTCTTTTTTTAATAAAACATGAGTCGTCGTTTGCTGTTATCAGATTTGGCTAACTTCAGGAAGTTGCCCAAGTTGAGTAGCCGTACCAACCCATCGTTTAGACGTTCAGCCGTGCTTTCACTTTATGACCAGGTTCAGTTTGATATTTGATCTGGATAAGCCAGTTGAGTAAGAAGGCCAATGAAGTCAAAGAAGATTGGGTGGAGGGTTTGGGATTGGTGGTTGGTCAGTGGATGGTGAGGGCATGGAATGGGTATTAAGAGGAATGTGGACAAGGAAGAGTAAGAGGAGAAGAAATTAGAATTGGAATTGAATTTTTGTTCATGATAAAATGGAGTATTTATATCGAATGGATCTTTACAGGAAAGGTATGGACTGGGTAGAGGAGTCTTTTTATGTTCTCTATATAATGGAAGGTATATTCGTCCTGGCTCCTATGGCACTGCCATCTGGTTTAAGGAATCGAAGAAGTGTAATTCGTGGCAGAGCTCTTAATGGAAGTATATTGACGGTTTTGGTTTCTCTGGTATTGAATTGAATGTATGGTTGGGTTCGGTTGTTCTCTGTATTCCTGGATGAGCACTTGGAGGAAGAACAGTGTACCTGGAGAGATAAAGGTTGAAGAAATACATAAAGGCTGGAACTATGACATTAAATTAAAATTTAATTATTTGGGTGAAACTTTGGAAAACTTCTGCTTAATTTTACACTTAGTCTATGCCTTGCCTGGTCAGTATAAAAGCTAAGAAGACTCTACAGCACAAAACGCTTGCCTTGAAAGTATCCTTATTATTTATTTACAATGATTCTTCTTTTTTATCTAATCGGTTTTCTGCTTCTTGGCAGCGTGTTCATCTTCAGCAGCGCCGTTCTCTCCATTAACCTCGGCTTGGCTGGTTTCACCTTTAACGTCTTCTTTGACCTCAGCCTGGCTGGCTTCATCTGGTGATCCGTCTTTTGTCTCAGCTCCAGCTGATGACCCACCTTTTGTTTCCGCCTCCGCCTCAGCCTCAGCCTTAACGGCTTCGGCTGCTGCTTCGGCTGCTGCTTCGGCTTTGGCCTCGGCCTCAAACAACGGCCCCATCATCTCTTCAGCCTTCTTAAACTCCTCTTCCACCACAATATCCGCCCCATTATCAAACGCCCTCTTCAAAACAGGCCCCCAGAGCCTCTCATCACGCTCTGTAATATCACTCAACTCAAAAGTGTTCACGCCAGCCTTCCAATCCGACTGCTGGGTTCTTTTCAACGCAACCATATGTGCTGACGACTCCACGGCACGGCCAATATCGCTCAACAAACTCCGAATATACGTTCCTGAGCCCACAGTCGCCGTGGCAGTGAAAACAGGCAAACTGGGCCTTGGAGGAGCATCTTCAGCTAGCATTCTGGGGTGCACCAAAGTGGCCTTTTCCAGCTCAGGCACACTCTCATCGGCCATAAAGTCATCTGAATAAATCAATTCCGAATCGTTAAGCGTGGAATTCGACGCAAGCATGCTGGCCAACGTCTTCCCGTCCGAATCGCTCTCCAACTTCATAGGCTTATACTTGTCGTCCACCCCGAACTCATGCACCTCCAACGCATGAACCGTAGCTTCTCGAGCTTCAATAGCTCTCGGAAGCGGAATCCCCTGTCTAGCATAATCATACAAGGCCATTCCATCCACCTTAAGCGCCGAAAACAACGGAGGGGTCTGTTTCCCCTTGCCTGTGAACTTCCGAGCCGCCAGCTTCAACTTCTCCAACGTAACATGCTCAGTTTCCGTTCTCGTCAACACTTCACCCTCTGAGTCTCCCGTAGTCGTGCTCTGGCCCACCATCGCCGTAGCTTCATATGTCTTGGTGCATTCCCCCAAGAAGTACTTCAACTGTTTCGTTCCCAGCCCCACGCCAATTATCAACACCCCCAGCGCCATGGGATCCAACGTCCCGCCATGGCCAACCTTTGTTTTCAACCGAGCCACTCGATTTTCAATCTTCAGCTTGGTCCATCTCGTGCCGGCGGTCAACTGTTCTCGTTTGAGCTTCCTGGCTTCGCTCAAGTCGTTGGCGAAAACCGCCAGGTTATCGAAGATTCGGGAGACGGTTTGGACGACGTCCAGCGACGTCACGCCTGACGGTTTGTTGATGGCAAAGACTCCGTTCATGTTTCGTGGGAGGTATTTGAACATGAGGTTCGCGAAGACCAGACATCGAAGAACAGACATCGAAGAACAGACAACGAAGTTGGCTGGTCTGAGATGGCTGGATGAAGGGAAAAATGAAAAATGTAGTAAAAGGTGAATTAAGTGAATTGAAGACTTTTAAGTGGAATTTTATTACTGGACTTGGTGGGTTTGGGAATTGGTGGAGGGTTGGTGGGAACCGGTTGGCTGCGAAACATGTACAGTGAAGAGATGAGGTGTGGGAAGTGGAAGATGTGGAGGATATGAAGAATATGGAAATGTAAGAAAGGGAGGGTGGATGGAGGTTTGTGGATTTGGCTCTGTAGATGCTTTTGGATGAAATGTTGGTATTCTGATTGTCCTATTTATATAAGATGGCTTGGGCTGTTCTGGTGGTTGGTTGGTGAATGGTGGTAGAGGTGTGTACTGCTCCAGGCAGTAGAATGGTCAGAGGGTTGTGTTGGAAGTTAGATGAAGTGGAAGTGGAAGTGGCAGCGACGGGTTTGGGATCTGGTTTTGTCGAATTATAAGTAAGTTTTGGTGGTGGCTGTTGACATGACGTTGGTAGGTGAAGACCAGTAAAGCGTGGTAGGAGAATGTTCATGGTTTGGGTGAAGTTTGGAACGACAGTAATCTTTTGATGGCAGGAAGAATGTTGAAATATAGTGAGAAATTGGCAGCCACTGGGTTTTAAAAGGCTCCACTGGCTATCCAGATTGGTATTCTTCCTCGTCTTCATTCAAATATGCCGTTAGGGAAGAAATCCAAATCTTCGATCTAATTGAAGCTAATGATCTTGAATCATTTCTTTGGGCAAATTGATCAATAGGTTCATCGAATGAGTGCCAAGACGTTGGCGGTAGATGAGCCAATGACTTGAATAACTGTAGTTGGTTATGGTCTTGCCTGAACATCAGCAATGCCAGCATTGCTTTCCAAGTAAACTCGAGCAAATAGAACCACCACAAGGATGACATTAACTCTGTAGATCTAAGCGCCAGCGCCAATGAAGATCACCTAACTTTCCATGATTCCACAGATGTCCAGAACATTTCTTTAAATCTTAGAAATCCAATAGTCCTAACCATAAGAAATCACCATAAAGATCTCTTTTGACCTTTGAATGTCCTCTTTCAGAGTAAACCAGCCCGCTGGCTACCATTCCAGGCCTCTGTAGTATTCAATTAGTCCATAAAGAGCCCCAAACAGTTCAATGTCCTCCGTGGCCCTTCAGCCAAACTCTTCAAGGCGATAAGGCTTTCCAGGCCGTATCTGGCAGCCCTTTAGACATTCCAAGGTCTCGCATGAGTCGGTTTGATCCAGTCAGAAAGCTTCAGCTAGAAAGTGAAACCCACCTACTTATCGAAATGGCAATTTCTGGAAACTGTCATAGCGTAAAAGTGGATTTCACCAACTAATCTATCGATATGGAGCCGCTTCAGACGTGGAAAACAATTTGCACAAGGCGTTATGGTCTTCCATTCCCAGCCTCCAGGGACCCTTTCTTGGAATTTGTATCCTTGCCTGGCCTCCAGGAAATATTCCATGTAATGCTCAGGCCCTCCAGGCCCTTCAGAGCGCCATTTGAGGCCTTACAGGCCAGCTCCAACCTCCGTCCAGCCCTGAGAGGTCCTTCCAGGCCTTGAGATTAGTCCTTCAGATCTTCCAAGGCCTTACCATCTCCAGCCTTCGAGGCCTTAGGGCCTCTCAGAGCCCCAGACCAGCTCCAGCCTCGCTCTTCAAGGCCTTGCGGCCTTGTCTGGCCTTCCAATCCCGGCCTCGGCGCCTCTTCAAGGCCTTGCGGCCTCTCAGAGTCTCTCAGAGCCTCCGTCCAGCCTCCGTGTCCATCCAAGGCCTTACGGCCTTGTCTGGCCACTACGGCTTCGGTATCTGCACATCCAACGACATCAACCCACTCTCCCCCAACGGCACCACCCTCAACAACCCATCCCTCCTCCCCAAAAACTCCCCATTCACCTTCTCAATATACATATCTACCTCCTCCATCTTTCTCTTCGTAAACAGCTCCCTGAAAAACCTCCCCCATACTCTCGAATACACCGTCCCGCTCAAAAACTCAAGCACATTATCCATCCACGTCCATTTCGAGTCCATCGAAAAAGCCTCCTCTAACATCCCATTCACTGTCCTTACTATCTCCTCCAACTCCTTAGCACTAAGCAACAGAGGCACCAAAGGCGGTTTAGATGTCGTTCCAAACACATTCCCATCGAATTCACCCAACGTGGGTTCCCCCAAAACAGCCGCTGGCTCTTCTCCTGGCGTATACACTGAAAACTGGGGAACCATATATGAGTAGTCTGTAGTATGGTAGGTTCGTGGAATGCGTACAATCCGTGTAGTTTCATACAATTCAGATCCAGTGGGAACATGGACGTTTGGAAAATGGTTCACCACAAGCAGAGCTTCCAGGGATTCGAGGTTGGCTGGTTTCTCTGCTGGAGAAGCCTGGGAGACCAAAGTAGAACCTGAAGGGGCATTGGGAGGAACGAGAAACTCGTGGTAGTTGAAAAAGGGAACTTCAGGCGTCAGAGACGACTGGGTATACTTTGTATTGGGATCATTCATAAACAGGTGTAGAAAGGGTGGGTTGTTGTTTGTGGGTACAAAAAAAAAAGAGAAGATGATTTCGCCCAGGATCGAACTGGGGACGTTCTGCGTGTTAAGCAGATGCCATAACCAACTAGACCACGAAACCACTTCGATAAGTGAAAGAAATGTGGGTTTAACGTGTGGGCATTTGAATGGGATGTGGATGGAAATGGCTGAAAGTTGGTTAGTAGATAGATCTATGCCTTAGAAGACTCCCATAGAAATCTTAGCGCTCTACGGCAATTTTCCAGCGAGTTAGAGCCATTTATGTGTTTCTACACACCCGTGCACCACACCTATATAGACATCGAGGCCATCGAAAATTCTTCAACCACTTCCTACCCTCTTTCTTTATCCAATTCTAACTCAAAATTGTATGTACCATACTATTTGCCTACCTGTGATGATATTTGTCCGTTAGGACACGCTATTAACCCAGCTCATTTGATATTTTTGTTTGTGATAAGACTTGTTTTTAGCTGAGGCAATGATTTTGTGAAGGTTAACGACTAACATTTAGGTTTCCCAGTTTTTGTTGATATTTTTGGCTTTGTAGGAAGTGGCTGTTGAGGGTGATTTGGGCGTTAGTCTCTGATGATGTTGTCTGGGTCTTTATGGGTCTTTAGCTTCAATGGGTATAACCAGAGTACTTGGAGTTCTGGGGATACCGAAGCTGGTGGTTCTTTCCACGATGTGATTGTTATGGACGTCGTTGTCCCACTCAATTGCTTTATTTGTTGATTTTATCTCGTTTTGTTCTTTCTCTACTCTGTTGACTCTTCTTTTGGTTAGTACCAGTGGTGGTATCTTATCCAACTTCACGGCTAGAACGTGGAATTGGAGCACTGGATCCCACCAGTTTCTATGAATCTGCCATTGGATCAACCAATGCTGACTACTTCTGGTCATATAAGTGTTAGGTTGTCTGGACAAGAGAAGGTAGCGTTCACCACTCCTGGTCTCTAACCGTCAGTACTTCCATCGGTACCACCCTAGCATTATGTGTCTCCTTAGGGAAAGAATAACTGCTATGTCTTCTTCCAATTGAAGCTCTCTCTTGTCTATTGTCATTTCCTCAAGGATCTTACTGCTTGTTAACTTCTCTACTACCAACGTTACTAGCATTACTATTGGTACTACTGGTACTACTACTACTACTGGTACTACTGGTACTTTCCAGGAGAACAAAAAGCAACTTTAACCCTAAACTCCATTTTTCAACCACAAACAACCACTTTTTTATCCTTCATTTACAAGACCTCCTTAATCTACCCTATTCTTATTCCACCATTGATTCTTCAATAAGTACCCATTTTTCGCAGCCATTAGCAAAAACACAAACCCTCCATAAATCCACCAGAAACACCTAAAAAAACCCCATAATTACCCAAAACCATACTTAACCTTTCCTTCCACCACCCCCTTCCACCTTCACCTCCTCCACTTCGAAAACCACCAACTTCAGAACAGCCCTAACAGTTTCCCCAAGAAACCCGTGCACCACACCTGAACCCTCTGCTCGATTAATTTTTCAGCCTTTCCTTCCCATTTCCAACTTCCCCAAACAACCAAAAAAGTATGTTTTTTACTTATTTGTATGGCATTATCGTGATGATACTTGTCCAGAAGGACTACGCATAAACCCAGCTCTTCGATATTTCATTTTGTTAATGGACTTATGAGACCAACTAGTTATAGACAGCTGAAAGTGCCATACAGTAGAAAAGTGTAATGACTACGAGACTAACAAATTAGGTTTGGAAGTGGATTTGCGTTCGGGGATGGGTCAATTTAAGGTTTAGTGGGAAGGCTGGCGTGGGCAGGTAAGGGAGGTGTCGGTGATGGCTAATTGTTGAAAGAGGGAGCCATAGGTTGCTTCTGGCTTCCAGGAAGCTGTCCATGTGTTGATGTTCGCTCTTTATGCTTTGGAGACTGAAGTGCAATTTGGTCTCTTTGGGCTTTCTGCTTCTTGTTTAGCTGTTTCTCTCTAACCTCTGTTTGTGTTGCTTAGTGGACTGGTATGGTTCCGATGGATCTGCCTGATCTGCTAGTCTATGTACTCTTAGAAGGTTGATTGACATGAACGTGGGAAGACGAGCGGGGACTCAAGTGGTGGGGCGTTCTATGGGTTGTCAATTGAAGATTTCTGGTGTTGCCAATTGACGTTCCCTGGTGGAAGGTTAGTGGCTTCTAAGCTGATCTTCATGATTAGCAGTCTACAGTGTACAAGAAAGGCTAAGAATTCTTGGAGATGACTTTTGGCTTTAGTGGAATTAAGTGTATCTTTCAGTATGTCGTTGTGTCAGTATACTCTTCTTTCTTCATTGTTCATGAGGCATGTCACCTTTGATCTGACTATCTTTGAGTCTAAAGAATGTTTAGTTTTAGAGAAGGTGCCTGGGGAACGTAGACTATTAAAATTAAGCCAGACTTTAGAAAACTGCAAATCTTGGCTTTTCATTTCCTGAAGAACAGGTAACTATAGTGTTCTACTCTCTATGACCACTTCTTCTACATGACCCAAAAGCCAATACCCATGAAAGAAGAGCAACAGAACGGCAAAACGGAATTTGGAAATTTTACTGAGCTCAGAAATCAAAGTAGAACCTGGGCTTCTACCTTCATTGACCACTTCAGGCCCTTCCGTCCTTTCTGCTACTCATTTTGCACCCAAATGCCCTAGCTAATGGAGGTCCCCCAGAGAATCATCGAAATTCAAAAAGTCCCTTAAAGCTCCATAAAAATACAGTACTATCGGTATAAACAATTCTCAAACATTTCTTCATTAGTTCTTCTTCCTCTTCCTCATAAACCAAAGGCACATAGAGGATACTTAAAGAACACAGCCGTCAATGAAAATTGATTTAAGACAAGCTAATTAACAAGTCTCAGAGTAAGGAAAACCAATTCAGGCAACGTAGAGCACCTTCTGTTAACTATATAATCTCTTACCATGAACTACCTATGAGCACCAGTCCACACGCTGCCAATACCCATCCATAGAAGGTATCCACACCCAATTGACCTTCCCCAGCCCAAATAAGTAATAAACAAGACACATTTTCTCACCTAGTACCAATGACGAATCTAAAAAAACCAGTAGCTTAGATGTAGACTGGGTGCTTCCAGGAACCGTCTTACAGAACTATAGCCATCCAGTAGTCTACAGCACCCATCCAATTCCCCAACCAATAACAAGTAAAAAAGAAAAACGAACAAAACCCTCTGTTCCTTTCACTGCCTTCCACTTCCCAGTCCTCCCTCCAGTCCCTCACTGTCTCCAGTTGCAACCAAACCAGTCAACCAGTCAGCCAGTCGAACGACCAGTACTAATCGAAAAGCTTTAAAAAATTATTAAACCAATATTTACCTCCAAATATATCCAGATACTTCTTTAACCTAAGAAGATCGATATCAAGTCTGGTGACCGTTTGGTTTATCTCATCGTACCAAGCGGATTGCAAGATTATAGATATAGCGATAGACATGGACAATTGGATGGGCTAAAAGCCTCAGCTGACTTTTAAGTGCCCCGAAGTCTAAGATAGATAAAATGGTTACTTTATTTAAAAATTGAGTGTGAATAAAATGTGAATTACGTTCGTAGCTCATGAGGTACCAATGAGCCTGAGAGCCACCACCAAAACTTCCAAAAAGAAGGAACAAAAAATGAAAAAAGCCACCCAAATCAACCTCCACTTTCAAAACACGAAAACATGAAACCATAAAATTCCAAACCTTCCAAACCTCCACTTCCACTTCCACCTCCACTGTCTTCCCCAGGATGGGACAAATTTTTCAGTGCGACGCTCATTTTTTTCACCTTCCTACTTTCCCTCCAACTTCAACTTCCACTTCAACTTCCCCTCCAACTTCCAGTATGCTTTCTTCCCGGGCGTTCTCGTTGCTGGCCCGGCGAGCGGCTCTTCCCACGGCAGTGTTGCGTCGAATCTGCCTAAGCATGCCTGTGATGGCCCAGCGAAAGCTGGTGGTCCAGAGATGGGCCAGTACTGAAGCAGCGCCAGTGACACCAACTGAAGACTTAAAGACAGAGAGTAAAAAAGACCTAAAAAAGAAGCGAAGATTACCTGAGGAGCCAGAAGGCGCTTAATATCAGAAACCAGGTGGAAGAGGTGGTCAACGAGGCTAAGGCTCTGGACTTGTCTGAAGCGATCAATATCCTTGAAGAGGCAGTGACATACCTTCGAGACGTGCAAGGTGAAGAGAAAATCACGAACAGGGGGTTTTACGGCTTGTTCCAGCGTCCGTTGGCGACGTTGACGGAAAAGGTACTCACTGAAGGTGCTGGCTTGGGCGGAAGAACGCCAGAACAGGTGTTGGACTTGTTCATTGACCTTAAGGTCGCCCATAAGGCCCATTTTTTCTTCTTTGCGTTGAATGAGTTGAAGAAGGGCGGCCTGGATATGTACGCCAACGTGCTTCGGGTGTGGCTCAGGTTCCTTGAGTACTCCAAGGCTATGGAGACGTTTGATGCTAACGTGCACTTGTCGTATGAGTTTCCTTTCCTTCTGGAGAAGGGATACAGGTTCCTGCTGCTCCAGCAGTTTGCCTACTTGGCGTTTATGATGCAGTGTCACAACGAGGGCGTGAAACCTTCGCTTGACTCGATCTCCAAGCTTCTCCAGCTGCAAGACCCTACCCAGCTCCCGTACATTAAAGCTGTGCGTAGTGCCTTTGCTTACCACGGCGTGAGAGAGTTTAATGACGATTTGCGGACGTTCTGGACCATGGACGAGGGCTTGAGAGCTGAAAACGCAGACATCAACAGTGAGTATACCCAGAAAGAGATCAAGAAGGCGCTCAGTCGGTCGCATATCAGAATGCTTTCTAGTTTTTACGAATCGCTTAAAGAGCGTGCAGTGACAAAGAACGAAAGCATCAACGAAGAAACCTTGGTCAGTTTCATGCTGGGATTCAACCAATTGAACGATTTCGAAACGTCTTTCAAGATTTTTGGTAGCATGCAAGAACAAGGCGTTCGTCCAACGCAACTGGGCTACGCTGCTTTATTCAAGACTATTGGACATCCAGATAGAATTCTCCTGTTGACAGAGAAGGAGCGTGCAGAGGTTGGAAAAACAGCAGAAATCACTTTACAGAGTATGCTTGTGTCTGGCGTGAAAATGAACCAGGACGTTTTGTCTTGTGTGATTTCCTGTTTTGCCAATGCTGGCCAGTCTGAGCGTGTGGACCAGTTAACCAAGGAATATGAAAAATTGGGCCTCAACACTGACGCCAAAAACAGTATCTTGATTGGTCTTCTTTTGAACAGAAAGGTGCATTTGGCTGAAAAGAAGTTTAAGGAGTTCTTGGCCAAGGACCCGTCCTACGTTCCAAACACTTACACCATGAACTCCTTCTTTTCTTCCTACACCAGACTCAAGAAGTTCGAGGAGGCCGAGAAGGTGCTTCTGTTCATGAGAGAAAAGGGCATTCCTGAAGACTTCGCTACCATCACCACCGCCATCGACTACTACTTCAAACTCATGACTTCTCGTGGCCAAGTGCCTGACATTGTGCTGATCATGAACGACTTGAAACAAGAGCACTTTAGGTTCACTGACGCCTCGATCAACTCCATTCTTTACACTTTGACATCTACTGGTGTCAACTTAGAGGCTGCCAGAGCCGTGCACAAGTACTTTATTGAGCAAACGCCAAAGAACCGTTTCTCAAAGGTCATTTCCACGACCATGATCGATGCCGAATTGAAGTACGGTTCGATCTACAACGCCGAGGCTCTTTTCAAGTTCCACGTTGATAACATGACCAACGATACAAGAATGTGGAACCAGTTCATTCGTCGTGCTTTAGAAAAGGACGATGCCATTGCATTGAAATACTATAAGAAGTTGAAGCAGCAAGACACCGCTGGAGCACAGAGGAACTACTTCACGTTCTACTTTATGTTCACGCATTACATGAGAACGAAGCAGAACGATAAGCTCCAGTGGTTGCTTGACGAGCTTGCCAAGGCCAATTTGAGCGATTATGGTACTCGTTTGCCAGAGATTGTGGATAAATTGAAGACTTCGTGCAAGGTGGACCCAGCTTTGGCTGCCAAACTTAAAAACTAAATACTGTAAATAAACCTAGGGACCAATGTAATTAGAACAAGGCCCGGCCTTGGATGTTTTAGAGTGTCGAGTGTAGTCCAAGTATGCAAATCAATTCCAATAAATACAAAAAAGAATAGAGATTGGTGTGGAGGCCAATCTTTCTATGTACGGTGGGAAGCCGCCACGCTTGGGAAGCCGCCAGGCTTCCTTAGCGGATCAACAACTTCTGGCAGCTTCTCCTGATGAGTTCCCTAAAGACTTCACTTGACAAGTTTCAAGTCAACGGTTTGTCAGCTGTCCAGCTTCTCTTGAAGACTTCCTAACGACTTAAATTGACAGCTTCCAATCCTGAAAGCTTGTCAGCTGTCCGGCTTCTCCTGATGGCTTCCAAGCCTGACGGTTTCCAAGCCTAGCGGCTTGTCAACCTGACGGCTTGTCAGCATCAGTCGAAGTCCCCCATGGCTCTCTTCCACAACGGATTAAACCAATGAGAAAACCGGTCCAGCATATTCTGAACCGAGTCCATCGCCGGCCGCGTGTCCAACATAAACGCAGGCATGCCCGTTTCCTCATCATCTGGAGCACTATAATAATCAATCACATAACGCACCTCATCCCACTTACCCTCCAGTCCAGCAGATCTAAGCACCGTCCAGTCGTGACGGTCGAACGGAGGCTGCGTGTTGAACGTCTGTGGAAACACCTTACCCAAGGCCAAGTACATTCTAGCTCTAGGACTAAGATCATGAGGCTTACCAGTGAACTGAAGCAAACGAGGCTCGATCCTCAGCTCTTGTGTATACTTTTGCTCCCACTCCAAAATCTGCTGCCACGCTCCCTCGTTCAAGAAATTATGCACTTCCACCATCAGCTCCACAGCGTCTTCAGGCACGCCCTGGCCCTTGCCTTTCTTAAGCATGGCATTGAGCATCTGCTGTGGAGAAGGGTACTCCCAGAACCCTTGGTCGCCAGACTCGCCACGTGGAATCAGCGATACCGTTCTTTCCGTAGAAAGCACGACTCTTTGGCCTGGTGCTCTTTCTGACGAGATCGCCATGGGCATGTTGTTCATGGGGTTGAGCACCTCATCGTCATCGCTCTTGGGGCCCTTTCCGTAGTTAACCGGGCACGCAGCTGGGGAGTCTTTCTTGCCGTGTTGAACGGGACATGCAGCGAGGCCTGAGGAGGTTTTAGAAGGTTTGCTTATAGCCGAGTCGGCCCAGAACCAGCCCATACTGAGTAGTTTTGAAGGAGTGAAATGGAGAAGCTGTGAGTGGATTTGATGAGGTAGGCGTGATGGCGGTCACGGGGACAAGGTCACGTGGGAGTCGACTCCCGACATTTACAACGATAGGAGGCAATTGGAAGGGTGTGGAGGAAGGGAGAGGGTAGTGAGAGGCTGTGGCGACGTTCTGAGTGGTTTGGGGTGTTTTTGGGCTGGTTTGGCGGGATTTGGTGGAGGTATACTGACGCTCGGCTGGATCTGGAGCCGAGAAGCCGAAGAAGCCGGTGGTGGTGGCAGGAGGAAGAAAGGGTGGTTGATTGGATGGTTTGGTGGTTTTTATGGGTTTTTTAGGTGGGTTTGAGTTGGCGGAAAGTCTGAAATTTGAAGGCTTTTGGAGGTTTTTGGAGGTTCAAGTGAGGTTTATCAGTGCATGTCTCAGTACTCCATTACTCGTAAGCAGTAGCTGATTGTTTTGTTTCAAATGCTTCATTTTTTGGTTTAAAGGGTTCTGATGGGTTCATTAAAGGAATTTCCAAAACCTGAACGAAACAGCTTCTGTGGAACCTTAACTAAACCAGATTTGGCGTAGTTTGCGACTGTTCAGTCCCGTGCCATGGTTCCACCAAAGAAACCAGCGTAAAACAAGGCAATTTGAGGATGCCAGGTTGTAGAAAGGGTTTCTTTTATTGTCGAATTGATTGGAAACTGGTTGCCCCGTTTGAAAAAGCAACTGAATGAGTGGTATGGAAACAAGCTGGGAAGCCATATATTCAAATAATACTCCAAAAGAAGAACCGAAAAGACATTCTGGAACCCAGTGGAATTGAAAACGTCACATTTCACGCAAAATACCACTTTCCATAACGTCCTCCAGGTGTAGTTAACCCTGGAATGACAGTATCGTCATAGCACCTTCACATTCTTGAACAACCCAACCACCATTCCACCAGTAGAGCTCTTCCTCTCCAAGCATCAAAGTCGAAAAATATGTACCCAATTCCTCTCCCACCATAAGAAGGCGGATCCACGGTTGACCCTTTCTTCCTCCACCTTCGTTTGCAGCCAACAAGGAACCTTTTACCTCCAACACAACCAGAGGTACCTACACAACCAGAAGTAGCTACAGAGGCCACCTCTAACTCCCACAATGAGGAGAGAACAACCCAAAACACACTTGCTTGTTTCCATCGCCCAGTCTGTCCTACGCTTGACAACCAATAAAACACTCCAGCTGGAAACCTTCAAACCAAAAATCAACACCACGTCTTCAAACCCAATCGACGATTGCCCACAAAGACCAAAGTCTAAAGTAGACTTTGCAGAACAAGCTTGGTTGGCCCAGACCTGCCAGAGGCTTTATCTAAAGCTTACAAGACCCTGGCCACTCGTAAAAGCATCCAGAGTCCATAGCCACGAAGGGTCCTTTTTACTGAAAGCAGCGAATACACGTAAAGAGGCAAACCTTGGCGAGGACAATGTCCAATGTCAATTGAATAATGAAGGTTTGAGAAAGGCCACTCCATTATGGGATTGACAATAGGAACCACCAAGACGGCAAGCGAACTGCGTCACCGAGGAAGTCAAAGAGAAGAAAAAGAGGGACTAAGTATGCTTTGTTAGGTAAGGCGGAAATTCTTGCCGTTGGTTTGAGGGAATAAGAGAATAAGAGGGGCGAAGCTTAAAAGGATGGATGGCTGCAAAATGGCTCTTGTTGAACAAGAGGGAGGCAGGAGAAAATGTCGTGGTCACTACAAGACAAGGATACAAGGGCATGGAAATTAAAGGTTGAAAGAGTTCGTATATGGTTATATGTTGGAGGAGTGCCAGAAACGGTGATCTGTGTAGTAGGAAGATCGAAGGTCGCTTAGGGATCACAGGGCGGTGAATTGCGTTGTATTATGGCCTGGCTAAAGGGAAGAAACGCCCGTTCTTGTATTGTTCCAGCGTGGGGGCACTTACGGTTACCTGTGAAGAGCAGAGTAGTTCCTTCGAGTAAGGCCGAGAATGACGGCAGAGGTACTCAAAAACAGCAAGTGTGGCCCCCCAAAGACCTGTCTATCCCTGACGAGGCTGACAAGGTTTAATTGGACCAGAACCCTCGGAAAACGCTCGAGAGACGATCGAGAATCGACGTAACACGCAAACGCAATTAAAGCCCAGTTCGAGGAAAGCCTACGACTAAGGGGCCCTGCCCCAATTGTGGGCGGGAATACCCGTAGAAATAGTTAAAAACCGTTAGCAGCTGGGAAACCTTTTTTTTGGGCCAGGCTGGTGGTATTTGGGAAGATCGGATGCTCAGAAACGGTCATGGCTGATCCAGAACCAGAGATTTCATGGGTTTTTGGATACTACCACTGCCCAAGCCCTCGAGGCAGTGTGAAAAGGCCGTCGAGGCGTAGCCGGGCCCATAAAGGTTTAGATACGTAGTTTCGTAAACTGCCATAATACACCTTTTGTGGTTGAGCTAGCGGAAGGCCCAAACCATCAAAACCTTAATTACACGGAGCTGCTGGAGCGCCAAAACCACCTCCAGACGGTCCCAGACGGTCCCAGCAGCTCCAGAAACTGTCTCTACCCTTCCACCAACCTCGTCTCCTATTGTGCTGGCGCACGGCGACCTAGATGTGGCTTATCGACTTGACGAGAGTGAAAACATACATGCTGAGACAGAGGCTGAGCTGGCACTGTCTACCAGGGCTCCAAAATGTCGGTGATGTCAACCGGGGGCAGAGAAAAGCCTATATGGCCGGAATTAATTGACTCTTCGGAGCTTACCTACTGCTTGACAGCCCAGAGCACGTAGAAACACCTCTTTCGAGTAGTTCGTCCGCGTGGATCGACAATGATGTTTAGTTCGTTTCATTGTGTGGTCCCAGACGAGCTGTGACGATCGGCAGGCCAGCCTTTTCCACAAGAATACGAAATTGGTGGGTTTGAAGGTTACACATGCCAATTGACACATTTTATGGAGAAAAACAGGGGCACCACGCCAGAAACGGCCGACTTGACAGCACCTGGCCGAACCGACAGGCCATGGAAGCCACCGAGAGAGGTGCCGGTGGGAAAAAGGAATTTGGGTTTACTGGATTTGGTGATAATTGGTGGTTTTTTGCAACCGCTTATTCTTCCACATTCAATGGGTGCAAAACGGGGTCAATTTGGGAGGTCTACGGCTGGCCTTTTGTTTGCAGTTACGTCTGGGCCCTGGCTTGGACGAGAAGGTGAATTGGCGGGTAAATGAATTGTCGAAAGGGCTTAATTTTATTCCGAAAGAAGATAAAGAGGGTTCTTGGGAGGAACTTATTGTGGGAGGTACTGCACACAAGCATAAGCCACCATGGGACGCCAGAATTTTTCACTTTTTTCACCATTTTACACCATTTTTTTCACTGGCTTTTCTGTAAATAGCGACTTTGACGCTGGAACGGTCAAAATAATTGAAGAGGGAAGGGGAATGTCGCGGGAATGTCGGTCCTCTATTTGTCGACTTTTCCTCCTTGAACAGTTCTACTGGGGGGCTGGTTTAAGGAATAATGAAATGTCGCTGGAATATTCTGCTTTTGTATTAGATAGGAGTAGGTTTTTTTCTTTAAATGGGTGCAAAAATTGTCGAGGGTGTCAAATTCTTGGACGGGCCGGGGGGAGATGAGATCCGAGGGTTGTGTGGGTTCTTTTTTTTGAGACGCCCCCGGTTCTGGTTTCCCTGGAGACGTTTGACCCGGATCAACCTCACATGGGGCGGTTTAGGGCGGACGGGGCGGTCTACAAGGGGTTATATTGAGATGTAGAGGGATTGGGGGGTGGATAAAGGCAGTGTCAGGGTAATTGAGTGGGTGGGAGGGCCAAGAGACACGGAATTAGTCGAAGTAGGGGTTGTCTTTGGATTGTGGAAGAAGTCTTTGATTGGATCACGTGACCAGCCCTCGGTGGAAAAATGTCGCGCTTCTACTTTTCGCTTTGTGCCCCCGGAACACCGGTGTCTCTCTCCCTCTTCCCAAACCGAGGGTCCCATCACCGGGGGTCCGTGTCTCTGTTTGTCGTGTGTCGCAAAGTACAGCGTTAGTATAATAGGGGAGACCATTAATTAACTGCAAAAAAAAAAAAAAAAAAAAAAAAAAACCTACAATACCAACAAAGATTCATAAAAAAACCGTCGAACAAAGCCCATTCTCTTCAAATCCTCTCTAGACCCTCCCTCTCTCTCTCTCCCTCTCTCTAAAACCCACTTTCCAGCCGCAACGCATGTTCATGTCTTCTCGGATTCTCCAAACCACAAACCATAACCTTCTTCCACTTCCACTTCCCACCTTCCACCGCCCAAAGCCGATATTCGCCTTTCATGTCAAAACAACCGCTGTAGTTGTGGATGTTCAATTTAAAAAGCGCCTGGCTCATTGTTCCCCAAAAAAAAGGCCGTTTTCCCTGGGCGTTACTTGTTCCTTGAACTTGGCAGAAACCTCTCTCTCTCTCTCTTTGTGGATAATCCCACAAATGCCCATTTTTTCTTTTTCCCTTTTCTCTGTTCCCTACCGCTTTGTGCTAATTCACATTCCTTTTGTGCTGTCTGTGTGTCCCAGTCGTTTTGTGGCTCCCACTAGAAATATCTAATTATTCGCTAATTTATCCATGGACATGCACCGGGATAAACTGTGCCGCTGGGAACCCTTTGGGTTTCGACATCTTATCTTTTAGTTCCGGGGGCCACGCCTGTGAGGCGGTTTTGGAAGCATGGGGTGGTTTTTGTCTTTTTTCTGGGTAACTTGTTGGAGTAATTAGGTATTTGCAACCGGCTACGCCAAAGAACAAGAACCAGCATTTGCCCAGAATAAAGACCTCTTTATCTTCCTCTTCCCTTCTCTTCGTCTCCCTCTTTTCTCCCACCGTCAATGTCCCACGTCCCTTTTACTTACTTTTGTGCCCTGCGGGCTCGAAACGTTTAACTCTCGCTACATCAAAAGCAGAACCGCTAGTATCTCGTCAGGGCGAGCTTCATTCGTTATTTGCACAGC